ATGAGGAGCATTAAAAATCCGTGGAGTCTTGCAGATTTTTCATCTCCTGGCTGACCTGAGCTGAAGGCACAGACCCCTGATGGCTCCTGGAGGGAGCAGTGACAGGAAAAGAATTTTTTTCTGAAGTCTGCTCCAGTGATTTCCAACTTAGCAGAGGCCTGAAGGTGCCACCACCACGTGGCTGCTCGATGGCACACGTGAAACAGCTGCAAAGGGTCCCAGCTCAATTCCCAACCTCTCTCCAAGCACCTTTGTCGCTCCAGGAAGATCCAGGTGGATACTTTGGAATGAATTAAGTGGTCACATGCTGCTACTCAGAGGTTTTAGCGAATTAGATCATTTTCATTTGCTGTTTTTGAAATTATTTGCTGATAATTTGTGCTCACCTGCAGCCCCCAGGTGAAACACAGCAGTTTTGGGGCAGCAAACCCAGAGGCCACACGCACAGAAATCAGTGGGAGCATTATCGGGCCTCTCCCTGCAGGCGAATCACGAAGTCCTGGTGGGATTTCTCGACGCTGTTGGGAGGAGTTTTTTGTGGCATCGGCGTTTTCTGCCTCGGACACACGGTGGCGATGGAAATCACCTTTTCCTCCAGGATTTCGGGCTTTGGAGTGCTCAGGAACCACACGTGTGTGTCCCCGAAAACGGAAGGATTAAATATTTCTGTTCAATCCCAAATAACCGCTGACACTTCAAGTGGCTGAGGCTCCAGAGAATCCACAAAACTTTCCCATAGGCGCTGATATAATTTAAATTAAGATGTTTATGTTTAAAATGGAGCCTGGAGGGCTCGTGTGTCAATATTTTGCTTTAAAAGGTGATCTGACCTTTCTCTCTGTTCCTTGGCTGCCAGGGCATGAGTGGTGCCAGGCTGGCAATGTCACCGACCCCCTCACCCGGGTTGATCTGTCCTGTGTTTGCACTGGGGGTGTCATCAGAGCCTGGTCAGGAGATGTGGAACCAGCCCTTGGCGTCACAAAAGGTAAAAACATTTCCCCTGTATTCTTTGGAGTTTATTTACTAAGGCTAAACTTCCTCTTTTTTTTTTTTTTTTGAGAAAACAGAGTGGCATGAGTTCGCAGTGCACATGCTTGGAAGTCGTGGAATGAGAGTGAATAAATGTGTCCAGTTATGGAAAAGGATGTGCACTTACCACCCTTCCTCCAAAGCAGAACGTGGTTATGATTCAAAAATTTCAATGCAAACCGTTGGAAAGTGTGTCTGAACCTTGTGAAACAATTAAAACACAGATTGTTCCTGCCCAGACTTGAATCCCAGAATCATTTGGGTTCGAGAAGACCTCCCAGATCGTCGAGTCCAACCTAGTTTGTCACCCAGCCCAGGGCACTGAGTGTCACATCCTTGGCCAGCTCCAGGGATGGGGACTCCACCACCGTTAGCAGTTTAATTTCATGGAATCCTGGAATCTCCTGAGCTGGAAGGGACCCACAAGGATCAGCCCTCGCTTTCCTTCAGCTGATCATTCCAAGTACCCTCAGCCTCTCCTCACCTGCCTTCCCCTCCAGACCCTTCCCCATCTTCACAGCCCAAAAAAATCTCCTTCCAAATCCATGCTGGGTTTTTAAGGTTGATGTGTCTAACTTGCTCTTTTCCACGTGTTCATGCCTCTCTTTGCCCTTGAGTGGAAGAGTTGCTGCAGGATTTCAGTGTATGAAGCAATGCCTCCCCCAGCAGTGTTTGGACAGTGTTTGTACCTGGATAGATGCTGGGCTGGGCAGACAGGCAGAGTGCAGGTGCAGGTTTTAGCAGGCCTGGAGCTCTGGGAACAGCAGCCAGGATGAACTCAGCACCTGTCGTAATCTCCTGGTTTTGTAAGTTCTGTATATAGTTATTATCAGTGATTTGGGACCAACCCCTCAGCAAGCCAAGCACTCCCCCTCACTTCTGCAGGAGTTGGGATTTAACACTGGAGATGATTAACTAACACCAAAACCCTTCTCTTCAGCTCCTTCATTAAATACTTAATCAGAAGAAGATTATTTATGTAAAACACACATCTATATCTATGTATTTATGTCTACAGATGTATAAGTGTCCATGACCCAATTTTCCCAGATGTGAAATATGATCTGTTCCCCCAATAATTTTATTAACTACAAAGCCTCAAAGCAGATTTTCTGGCTGGGTAATTCTTGCCTGCAGTGGGCACCCATCCCACCATGTGTTCCCAGGTCAGTGTAGTTTCCTGCAGAGTCTCACACTTCTAACCACTGCCTTGGTGGAAATGATCTGTAGTTTGGAGCAGGAGCAACTCACTGTCCCCACTTCTGTGCAGATCCTTGGGATCCCTGACACCTCCAGCAGGATTAGCCTGCAGGTCACCAGATCCAGCAGCATTAGGATTTAAACTTGTGTTACTCATTCCATTTGAATTTCAGCAACCCTGTAATGCCGAAGGGTTTTATTTAAACACAAAATGTGGAAAAAAAGGAAGAGGGGTAGTTCTTTAAACCATTGTCCGTGGACAGAACAAGCAGCTGAAGGTCAAAGACAAGCAGGAGGGGCATTGGCAGCGCCTGGCCCTGCTTCACCGTGTCCTCAGCACCTGTTATCAGCTCTGTCCTCCCTGCCTGTGCCAAGCAGGGACAGGGCAGTGGCCCCGAGCCACGCGGGGACCTCGTGCACAGGGACTGGGCTGGGATCTCCTGCTCCCACACTCACAGGGGGATCACAGGGGTACACAGGGGTCACCTGCTCCCACCTCCCTGCTGAAGGAGGGTGATGGCAGAGCACACGGCATAGACCATTCTGGAATATCTCCAGTGAGGACACTCCATCCCCTGCCTGGTCTCTGTTCCCGTGCACCATCACCTGCACAGAAGGTGTTCAGGTGGAACTCTGTGTGCATCAGTTCCTGCCTGTTTTCTCTTGTGCTGTTGCTGGGCACCACCGAGAAGAACCTGGCCCAGCTTGGCACCCTCACCATAGATACCGACGGGCATTGACGAGGTGCCTTCGCTCACCTCTTGTCGAGGCTGAGCAGGCCCAGCCCTGTCGGCCTTCCCTCCCAGGAGCGATGCTCGGGTCCCGGGGGGTCCCGGGGGGTCCCGAGGGGTCCCGAGGGGTCCCGGGGAGTCCCGGGGGGTCGCGGGTTCGAGCCCGGCCTCAGCCCCGCCCGCCTCTCAGGCCACGGGCATCGCCTCACAGGCCCCGCCCCCGCCGCGCCGCCCCATTGGTCACGCCCCCAGCGGCGGCGCTGGCGGCAGCCAATGGGAGCGGGGCGGGGGCGGGGCCTGCGCGGGGCGGGGCGGGCGCGGGCTGACCCGAGGTAACCCCGATCACACCACCGGGGGGCGTGGCCGGGGCGGGGCCGCACCGGGCGGGGCGTGGCCGGGGCGTGGCCGCGCGGGGAGCGCCAGGCCGGGGGCCCGCGGCGCCTCCGCTGCACCGGCACCGTGAGGTGAGGGCGGGGCCGCGCCGGGGGGCGCGCCGGGAGCGCGCGGGGGGCGAGCGGTACCGGCGAGCGGCGGCGCACGGGGCTGGGCTGGGCGGGGCCGGGCCGGGCCGGCCGTGCCGCGGGAGATGGCCGGGCCATGCCGTGCCGGGCGGGCGGGACCTGGCTGGGCGCCGCGCCGGCGGGAGATGGCTGTGCCGTGCCGTGCCATGCTGTACCGTGCCGTGCCGGCGGGGGATGGCGGCATGCCGAGCCGAGCCAGCTCGGGCTGAGCGGGGCAGCGCTGGGCCGAGCTGAGCCGGGCACGGGCGGGGGTCTCCCGGCCCGGAGCCGCCGCCCGGTTCTCTCCCGGTTCTCTCCCGGTACCACGCGCTCCGTCCGGGCCGCGCCGCCCCCGGTCCCATCGCTCGCGTGGCCTCGCCGGCTCCCCCCGTACCCTGAAACAGACAGCACGTGGGCGGCGGCGAGTCCGGCACCGCGCACCCCGGGGGATGGAGCACCGGGACATCCCTCCTCCGTCTCATCCTCCTGCTGGCCCTGGCGGGATTTCGGGATCCTGGGGAACAGTTTGTGTCTGGTTCTGCCAGAGAGCAGCCCTGAGATGCTCAAAACCAGTGAAGTTTTAAAAGCAGATTGGCAGAGCAAACCAAATTGTTGTTCCTGCCCCTCCCTTCTCCTAAATATTCTCGAAGAAGTTTAAAATGAGAAGTGCTGTGTTAGAAAGTATCCGAAGCGTGAGTGGAGTCTGTTCCAGTTTAGCAGGCAGGAAATATTCAGCAAACTGTTTAAGTGATGCCAAAATCTCTCAAAGACAGTGGGATTCAGACAGTCTCGAGTGTTTCAGCAGACTGGGATAGCTGTAAATACAGGCTCTTATTTTGGTCTCTGTAGAGGTTTTGGCTGGATAATGGGATGCAGTTCTTCCCCTGGAGGGTGCTGGGCATTGCCCAGGCTCCCCAGGGAATGGGCACAGCCCCGAGGCTGCCAGAGCTCCAGGGGTGTTTGGACACTGCTCCAGGGATGGACAGGGTGGGATTGTTGGGGTGTCTGTGCAGGGCTGGGAGTTGAACTGGATAATCCTTGTGGGTCCCTTCCGACTCGGGACATTCCATGATTCTGTGGCTCTACATCCACAGGTGGAAAGTTCTAGGTAGTTGTTTTTCTCCTAATACCCAGCCTAGCCCTGCCCTGGCTCATCTCCAGCCGTTCCTTCGGGTCCCGTCCCTGTCACAGGGAGCAGAGCTCGGAGCTGCAGCCCCCGGTGAGTGTCCCCTCAGTCTCCCCCAGCTGAACAAACCCAGTGCCCTCGGCCCCTTCCCCACCCTCCTGCCCATCCTTTGGGCTCTCTCCATCACTTTTGGATCTTTTTTTGTGCTGTGGAGCCCGAGTGCAGTGGACATGGAGTGAAGGAGCCTTTCCTGCAGAAGCTCTGGAGGTGTTTGGTGTGTGCCAGGCGGTTTTGGGCCGGCAGTGAAGCAATGCCCAATGATTAACCGGGGGCAGGCTCAGCCGGGTCAGGCTCAGCCGGGGCCGGCACCGGGCTGGGCTCGGCACTGCCGTGGTTAAAACAGCACGGCCAGGGAGCCACCGAGGCTCTTCAGAGCTGGGGACGCTCTGGTGCAGGAGCCATCCCTTCTCTCCCGACCTGGAACTCCCCCCCCAGCCCTGGTATAGGTGAGCACGCTGCTGATTTTTTCTGTGGTCAGGAGTTGTGGCTCTGTTTTAATTTGATTTTAGATTTTTTGCTTCGTTGTTTTCTGTGTTTCTCCAGGTAGGGCTGTGAGAGCACAAATCCGTAGTCACTTTAAAGTGATTCACACTGATCAGCAATGCCACAGCTCCCTGGGCTTTAATCAGGAGACATTTGAATACAACTAGTTTTATTAATTTCCTTTTTATAAGCCATATCAATATGGTAGAAGTGTTACTCTGGTTCTTTGAAAGAGCCCACTGAAATGCTGATGTTTTCTTCAGTTGTGGATTTGTCTTCAGAATGGGATGGTTTAGAGAAAAACTTTAATTTCCACCTGTCATTGCCCAAGTTTCATGCCTGGGCGTATTTTACAATATTGAAAATGATTTTTAAGTGAAGCTGTTATAAAACTTCTGAAGTCTGGTGTTCTTACAAGTGCATTTCACTGTCAAGCCAAAGATGTGACTAATGTGGAGGAGTGAAGTGGGGTTTGTTTCACCTCAGGTTTAACCAGACCTGGCACTCTCTGAGTTTGGGCTGCAGAGTTCTCATTGCTGGTAGCACGGACATGATCTGGGTGTTAAATTCTTGGATACCTGCAGAGCTGGGAGCTGATTTCCCTGGGAGAAAGGAGCACAGCAAGGCTCAGTTTGTGTAGATCAGGCTGTGCCTAAATGTATTTCTGCATGTGAGCAGGCTCAGTGCTGTTACCTGTCCTTACATCATCACAGGACTGAGCTCTCAATCTTCATCCTTCCATAAACTGCAGGTTTTTCTCAGTCTCTGCAGAAGTTAAATGTTGGCACCTGCAGAAGGGAGTGTAGGGGCTGTGCACATTTAATAATTTGGATAATTTGGGGTTGGAGGGTCTAGTTCAGCGTTATTGAGACAAACAGTACATGTGCAGTGGTTCGTGGCACATGAATTTATCTTGGTGCTCAGCTGAATTCGAGGTGCTTGTGTAAAAATGGAACTGTGGCAGTTGCATTTCAGAGAGCCAATACAATATGCAGAAGTGCATAAATACACCCCTTTATTTATATATATATATGATGCACTCCTTTATTGGTATATATAACACATCTCTTTATCTGTATACATGTAACATACCTGTGTTTGTATATATAAAATATACCTCTATGTGTATAGATAGTACATTTATGAAATATACCTCTATATGTGTATATTTCTGTGTGTATTTTTGTGTATTATGTTTATATGTAATTCACCTCGCTAGTTACACATGTATGAAATTTACCTTTCTATTTCTGCAACATACCAGTGTGCAGTGAGCAGCCTTGTGCATTGCATTCACAGCACTGAAATTCACAGGCTTTGCTGAGGAGATCTCTGAGAAAGTCCCTGTGTAATTTAGCCCCAGACAATGCTGAAATTAATTTAAATATGAACGAGGACTCTGTGTGTGCTGAGAACGAGCCAAGCTTATCTCTCCAGCACAACGCTGATTGCACAACCCCAGCGGAACTCCTGGGGTCTGGGACTGGGCTCCCAGGCCTTGGGAAATGGACCCGAGTGGGATTTCATGGATAACAACTGAGTTTTTTGGAGCTGAATTGGACAAACAAGGTGTTGGAGTGAAGTTGTGTGAGTGTGGCCGTGCCTGGCCTTGGGTGGATGGTTTCTCATGGGATATTTGAGTGAAACGCTTCACTTCCTATCCCTCTGCTTCTAAAAAAAAAAAAAAAATCCTTGAAACTTGCTTATTAATATATTAGTTATTGAAATTAGAAAAGGTTTTTCTTCAATGAAGTGAGATTGAAGTTAGCTTGGCTGCATCCCAACCTCTTTGGCACTGGTGATTGTGCCAACAGTAAATCTGTCTGCATGAAAATCTTTAGGAGTGATCTGATGCCAGGATAAATACTCACATAAATACTGTCTGCATCTTTGTGTGCACAAACAAAATTGGATTTGTGCTGTCTGAGCAGCTCAGGTAAAGAAACCTCCCTCCATGTTTTGGTTTGCACATCACAGGTGGACAGGAAAACTTTCTGGTCGTGCTTCCCCTTCTTCTCATCTCTACCCTCTAAAAAAGGTTTTTAAATGCTTTTAATGTCCATGTCAGACAGATGTTTGTGGCTTTTCAGTTACAAAATGGTTAATGATGCCTCTGTCAAATGAAGTGCCCGTGGCCCTAGGGCAACTGGAGTTTGTGGGAGGAGAGTGATGTCAACACAGGATTTGATCTGAATAATTCAGCCAAGTACATTCATGGCAAAAGTGCGTGAGCCAGTTGGATGAGTTTTGAGATCTCAGTCGCTGATGGGAAGCAGGAGTGTGGTGTTTAGGGATTGCTCTGGCTGTGATTGCTTGTCTGGGCCCTCGTTAAAGTCCCCATCGTGTCCCATTTGTGTGACACCACGGGCCAGGGTTTTGTGCCGCTGTCTGGTTGTGCTCCATCCTTGTGCTCGCCATAACAGTGGCTGGAATTAGCAGGGCTGGGGAGGTTTTCACTGCGATTTACTCCTTGGGATTCAGCTGGGATCAGCCAGAAGGTGACAGGAAATGTTTGAGATGAGCAGATAGTGCTGGCACAACCCGTTGTTCCTTTCAGAAACAAAACTGGCAGGTGGGATGCTCAGGTCTCTCGGAAGATTCCAGAAGGATGGACCAGCAGGAGGTGCCACAGCTGGACTTGGGCACTGCAGGTTCAGCTCCTGGATTAATCTGGACCTGGAGCAAGCAAGCCAGTCCCTGTGGTGTCCCTGTGGTTTTTTTTCAGGATGGTTTTGATGATATAAACAGGAAAACACACGTGGAGTATGCTTCATTATAACCCTAATGTTTATTTCCTAATTCTTTTCTTTTCCAGTTCGTTTTGGAAGTGGCTCACTGCTCAGATTGCACGGATATCAAGAGGTCAGTGCATTCCTCATTTCCTAATGGTGTGTTTCCAGCTGGGTGTAGTTGTCATAAGTGCAGCAAAGTCAGGCAGAGCAGGGGTATCAAATGTTTATTCCCCATCCCACCTTTGTGCTCTGGGGTGTTCCTTTGTTTTCCACATCTCTCATGGCTCTTTCTCAGTCGAAATTATTTTTTTGATTTTTAAGAAAATGCTTTAATTCCCTGCTGGAATATTGGAACAGACTCATCCCTGGAAGTGTCCAAGGGCAGGAGCAGCCTGGACTGGTGGAGATCAGATGAGATTTAAATTCCTTCCAACTCAAACCAGTCAGGATTCTCAGATCCTGTGATTTGTGATGCTCTGAGTTCCCTGCCTTTGTCTATAGGTTTTGGGTCTGGTGTGTGGGTTTTTTTTGCTGGTTTTTTTTTTTTTTCCTTTAAGTGACTCCTGCAGCTTTGTCTGAGGTGGGAAGTTCTGCAGTGAATCTCAAAGTCCTTGTGCAAACAGAAGTCAGTGCTTAGAGCATTTCTTGATGCTGGACTCAGGATTCAGCTCTGACCTTTTAACATTGCATTTCCCATCAGTGAACCTTGCTTTGTCCTCCAAGGGCAGCTGCTCACCTCAGGTTTGTTTTCTTTCCTTTCTTTTGCCCCTGCCAGTGTTGAGAGCCCAGTTTGGGGGAGCCATGGAGGAATCTTCAGAAGCCAATAAAGCCCTGGACACCAATGCTCACTCTCGTTTCATCATTGGCTCAGTGTCAGAGGATAACTCAGAGGATGAGACCAGCTCCTTGGTGAAACTTGACCTGCTGGAGGAGAAGGAGAGGTCTTTGTCACCTGTGTCTGTGTGCTCTGATTCCCTCTCGGACCTGGGGCTTCCCAACACTCAGGACGCCCTGGCCAGCCATATGAGGTATGGATCAGTAACCTCCAGTCAATTCCAAAGATAATCCAAAGGTTCAGCTTTTAAATCCAAAGGTTCAGCTTTATACCCGTGTTTGCCTTCAAGTGTTTTTGTTGTGCCAAGGCACGCTCCAGCATTCTGTTTCTAAATGGCCTCTTGTATGTTTATCTGTATCAAACCCTTCAATTTTCATTCGGTTTTAGTGGAAAAATTTGTGCCTAAATTCCTTAAGCACCTTGCCTGTCTTGTCCTGCTTTTCAGAAAATGGAAGTGTCTTCATTGAGATGTTTAAAGTTTTCACTTGTGTGTGGTTTTTCTGGGCCCTCTTTGTTGAGAGCAAGAACAATGTTTGCTTATTTTGTCTTTGCATGGGATTTGCTGCTTTAAATGTAGCCAAAGAATTGGCAATGGGTAGAATCAGTGGCTCCATACTGGAATTTTTTTTTTGTTTGGAGAGGGAAAATTGTGATGGTTGTAGTTAAGATTGGAGTCCTGAAATGTGGTGATAAACCAAAATTTAACGTGGTTGCTGCTGCCTGAGCTCAGGGTTGGTCTCGGGACTGCCCCACTCCTGATTCTTTGTGAATGAGCCATGAGCTGGACTTTTGAGGTTGTGGGGATGGTGTTTGCTTGTCCAAAGGCCCCTTTCTTTTTAAGTGTTGCTGATTTGCATTCCTGTTGGATTTTCCTCGTTGTGCTCTGGGCACTTTCCATGTACAGATCAGTTTCTCGGTGCCTGGTCAGTCTTGCTTCACTCTCCCATGTACCCTTCATTTGTTTGCCATGTTCCAGGAGCTCTGCTCTTTCTGCCTGTGCCATCCCATTCCAGGAACACCCAGGACAGTGTGAATCCCACTCCAGTTGTTACTGGACAATCCCTCAGTGCCTTCTCTTTGTTGCTTTTGAAGGAATTGCTTGATTCCAGTGGTAGATATTTACACAACCAGCTACTCCTTGTCCTCGTGTGTTACTGGTTTCTTTGCTTGTGCATGTTAAGGAATTGTCATCTCTCCTGTTTTTTGCTGGTTCCCTTCCCACTTCAGGGAGCAGCCTCTGGGGACACAGAGGCCCAAAGTGCCAGCTTGGGGCAGGAGGGGGACATTGGTGTGTGCTTGACAGAGCTGTGGTGCTCAGGCTGCTGGGCACGTTCAGCCAGCTGGCACTTGCACAACTGATGCAAAACCTTAAAGCAAATTTACAGAGGGTTACCTTTCCAGAGCCTGCCAGCTGCAATTGTTTGGCTGCACAAAAGGTAATTTTGAAGCAGGAAACTGTGACTATATGTATTTATATAGCTTAGGAAACAGAAGGAATTGGATGAGCACCTAAGCACAAGTGTGTAAATGGAAAATATCAGAGCAAGAAACTGCTGTGACAGTTCCTGGCAGCAGAGAGCCTCAGTGCAATAGGTGCAACCTTGGGCACCTCTGTTGTAACCTGCTTACTTTGGCAGTTCCTTTGGGGAGCTCTTGACTTTTGAGTTAAATTGGACAGAAATGCCAATTCAAATAAAAAGAAAAAAAAAAAAAGTTACAGCATTATGGGCTGTTTTTCTAAGATAAACTCAGATGGGTTGAAATACTTTTCAGGATGGTTGTCCCTTTCATCAGGAGATTTCTAAATCATGTTTGCAGATGGAGAAACTGAGACAAAGACAACAGCAAAGACAAGTTCAACAGCTTGCCTGGAGTCACTCTGTGGCAGTCAGTTAATGGAACAGAGGTGCTCTGGCTTCCAGCTTCCTTTTGGTGATCACACTTTGTAAAGTGACAAAGGTAAATTTACAGGCAGTTCTGTACACTTTGACACAAGGTGCAGGTCCAAGGGAGCATATCTCTTGGAATAAGTTGACAAAAAACTTTTCCACTTGCTGGTGATTTTGCCACAGGATTAAAACAAAGATGGCTCGTGTTTGAGGTGAGGGGCTTTGCTGCAGAGCAGGTCTCAGGGAACATTTAATTGTGATTTAAATGCAGGATTTACCCAGCTGCCAAGGGGTTTGTGAGGGCACCTTGCTGATGTTGGGAAGTGTTTGTGCTGTTGCCAAAGTCACTTTTGCTGGGACAGGTTGTGCAGTGTGGGCTCTCCTGCCCCTGCAGGTCCATGGAGCCCTTCAGTTGTGCTCTGCAGGGCTCAGAAAGCCACGCTCTGAGAATCAACTTTAAATTGCTCTGTGGATCACCAGCACTTCAAAATTGGTGTGTGGGGACAGTAACCACGCAGGCTGAGTGTCCAGAGGGTCTTTGTTGCGTGTTTCACCTTTAAATAATAAAACCAAGCCTGCTTTTTTTTCCCCTTTTTTTCTGCCTGTGTTGTCTGTGAGTTCCAAAGTTTCCATCAGCAATTCCAGCCAGTCCTGCTGGGATACAATTCTCCTTGTAGGGAGCTGCTACAGAGTTGCTGTGCTCCTTTCTGAAGTTTTAGTGGCAGATGAAGTAACTCCTCCATAAATGTCACCTGGAGAGTACTTTGGGCCTGTCTGTTTTGTTTAATAAATAGTTGTTGATTAATGCTAAATTTAATTTCTAGCTTCCGAGACGGTATCTTGTATCAAATTCTTGTTTAAAATAGAACAAAACCTGGATGTCTTCTGGTATTTGGTTTCATAAGCAATGACATGGGTGCACAGAGTCACCTGACAATCCACTTGTATCAGCTGAAAGCCAAATTTTTGGATGGAGTTCAGCTGTTACCTCATATGAAGCCCACAGAGTTCAGCTCATTGCTCCTAGCACTGGTTGGATTGTCTCAATAAATTATGGAGATGCTTAAGCAGAACTAATCATCTGCTAAAGGAAATTTGGACAAATGCCTCAATTTTAGGCTGGACAGTAATGGTTTAGTGTACCCAGCCTGGCACTGGGACAAAGTGCCTGCCTAGAAACCAGCCCTGGAGTGACTGCACAGAGCCCTGGATGGAATGAAAGATCCTTTTGAGTCTCTTCTGAATCTAAAGAAATTCCTGTGCAGCCCAGCAGTTTGTGGTTGGGAGGTTGCACTGTGGGGCACTGATGCTGTGAGATTGTTGGTGCTGCTGTGGTTTCAGCCCTGGGCAGGGAGGTGGAAATGTGCTGGGGGGGTTCTGTGGGGCTGCTCCAGCAAGGATTTCTCCTCTGCTTGCTGTTCCAGGCTGTCTGCAGGGTCCTGCTGTGGGCTCTGATCCTGCTCTGGCCCTGCTGGTGCTGGAGGTTCTGTCCAGGGTGGCTGATGAGGAAGGAGCACCTTCCTCTCTGCCAGCCTGGCCTTGGACACTTGCAGGGATGGGGCAGCCACAGCTTCTCTGTGCCAAGCCCTCACCGCCCTCCCAGGGAAGAATTTCTGCCGAATTTCTAATCTTTACCTGCCCTCATTCAGCTTAAGGCCATGAACTTCATCCACCTGGAGTGAAAAGCTGATTTCCTCCTCTCTCTGCTGAAATAAAAGGAGGTAGTTTGGACTCGTGGCAGTGCCTGGTTGTGCTGATAACGTGGGAATTACAGCTCCTTCCTTCCCTGAACAAACACCCTGTATACCTCTGCGTGCCTCTCCGAATTTGTGTTCTTATTTTGGTGTTATTTTACCCCCTTTAACCTCAGTTAACAGAGGAAAGGTCCTCTCTAAATTCTCTGAATTGTTGGGAGATTTTGCAGATTCCCTGGCTGAGGTAGCACAGCGTGACAGCATCTCCAGGTGCTCCCTTACCTGATCCTTCTGAGAGATAACAAATCCCTTCCTTTGGGTCAATTTAATGGGACACTGCCCCACCTACCCCCTAAGTCTAGTTTAAAAAGACCCATTCTCGTGTTCCTGCAGATCAGATCTGTTCAACACTTGAACTTTGCCAAAGAGCACGGGGAGGGCTCCCTGCCAGGGACTCCAATTCCTGGTGCAGAATTATCCCGTGCTGTTGTTGTTGTTCACTTTTATCTCGCTGCCAGGGCTTGACCTGGGGAGTGTTGGGCTGCTTGCTGCTCCAGCAACGTGTGGAATTTTATACTTCATGAGGATGTAAAAGTAAAGCTCTTTTGGTACTTTGTAGGTTTAAGGACTGGAGTGTGGATATTAATTTAATTTAAATTAAATTTAAATGGATTGATGTTTGGATTCAGTGAGTGTTTTGATTTGCAAGGAACCTCTGTGATTTGGGCTGTGTGTCCTGGGAATGGTCCAGTTCCAAATGCATCTGGCATGGCAGAGAAACAGCCAGGTGTGTGGTTAGGAAAAGGAACTTCTGGCAAACTATTGGCACCTGGTTATTTGGGAGGAATCCTGGCAGCTTGTACCCGTTTGGGCTCTGTAAAAATTCCTGCTTTAAGCTAAAGACCTGCCTGGACTGATGCTGGAATTCTGTGTTAGCATGGAACAGAAATTATTTAGCAGGCAGTGCAGAGAGGGCTGGCTTTGTTCTGTGCTGCATCCTTAATTTAATTCCCTGAAATCCTGAGGCTCAGTTCACTGTCAGAGCTGAGTCAAGTTTCGTTTGTTTTGAGCTCTAGGTGAAGCCCTGGTTTGACAGTGTGTGTGCTCAAGCCACATCTGGCTCTTTAAAGCATGGGCAAAGCTGTCTTGGACAGAGTGCAGATGTTGCCTGTGGGGAACCACTGATTCCAGCTGTGGAATTCTGCATCCCTTGCTGGACAGCATTTCTGCTGGCTCCTTCCCTCTGCCTTCCCCTGAAATTGGATGCAAGGGCAGAGCTAAAACTGGAGCAGATCTTAGGGAGGCTGCAGCTGCCCGAGTCTTATCACCCACATCGAATACGTGTTCTCCTCATATTTACAAAAACACAGAGCCCAAACCATGGGGAGAGCTGTTCTCACTCCCTTCCCAGGCCAGATCCAGAGGGAAACAATTCCCAATCCTTTCTCTGGGGACTCTGTGTGTGTGTTTGTGTGCTGCAGTCTGCTCCATCCTGCCTTCCACACGAGGCAGCTCATGCATCCCTGTCCCTGGAACACACAGAACATCACCCACAGCCCCTGGCATGTGGCAGTGCTGGGATCAGTGCTGGCTCCTGGCTGGGATGTGCCTCAGGTACGTGTCCCTAAGGAATGGTTTTTCCTTGGAGGCTGCAGGAGGGGAAGCAGCTCAGCCTTTCCCTTTGTCTGAGGAGGGGGTGGATTTCGGGGGGGGTAGCAGGGTTTGGGGAGCACTGTGTGCAGGAAATCATCAGCTCTGTGCAGGAAATCAGCTCTGTGTGCTGCCCTGGATCAGTGACACATCCTCGTGCAGTTCGTTTTTTGCAGGGATGCTGCAGCAAACCGTGGCCATTGATTTCTCAGCAGCAAATTCAGCTCGCAGTGTATTTTTAACCAATGCTCGAGCTGCTCCTCTGGGTGTGCTCCTCCAGCAGCAAATCGTGGCCATTTCTGTGCCAGCAGTGGATTCAGCTGGTGGAAGGCACAGGGAATGTTTCTACCAGGGCCACATTAAGCTGTGTGTGGATTTGTTTCCTTGCAGCCACAAAAGGCAGAACCTGCTTGGATTGGGGGCTGCAGGTGGGGATTTTGGGAATGAATTAAGTGGAGAATTTGTGGGGTACCTGATGATTGGGCAGCTTGAGATGTTTTTCCAAGAGGATTAAAGGCTGGTAAGTGAAAGGCATTGAGTTCTGGGGTACATCCATCGTGTTGGGGTGCTCCTGTTGGTCCAACTCTGATCTCTCTCACATCCCTTGGCTCTGGTGAGGTTTGTGTGCAGACTGAGGCTGCCCTCACTCCCCAGAGTGTCCCTGCTGGTCCCTGGATGTGTCTGGAGCTGGCAGCACATGGCACTGCTGCTGCTCCTCACTGTGTCACCGTGTCACCTGTCCTGGCCTCAGCCCCCTGGCCCTGCAGGGAGGTTACCTCAGGTGAACGTGGACACTTGTTCCTTTTCTCACTGATCCCCTCCTGGCTGGCTGCATTTTGGGATTCTGTGCCCCAAATCAAAGCTGTGCTGCCTGGCTGTGGCCCTCCGCCAGGACAGACCCAAATATCCCCAAATTAAAATTTACCAGCTGCTGTGCCTGCTTCCAGTCCAGGTTTTAGCATCAGGGCACTGCTGCAGTCACTGCCCTTCCTTATCCTGCTTCTACCCCCAAAATTACAATTTATGTCTCTGTGTGTGCAGGGCCAGGAGTTGGACTCTGATGATCCTTGTGGGTCCCTTCCATCTCAGAATGTTCCATGATTCTGGCACTGAGTAAACGTTCACTCTTCCTTCCTCCAGTGGTGCTACTGGACCCTGCCATGCTGTAAAACTTTGCTTGTGAGGATATTTATTCTTCCACACGAAAAAGGACCTTTTTAAACCAGCTTGTGAGGATATTTATTCTTCCAGTATTCTCCCACATGAAAAAGGACCTTTTTAAACCAGCTTGTGAGGATATTTATTCTTCCAGCACGTGGAGGGATCTCATCTCCATCTTATAGGTGGGAAACAGGCACAGAAAACTGAAGTGACGTGTCCAGGGTCTCCCAGCTCCCAGGCTGGTGTCCAGTTTGATCTGCCAGCTCTGCCACACTGTGTGGGTGTGCCTGACATTCCTCCCTGCAGCCCTGGAAAAGCTGTCCCTGTCACCTCCCATATTAAATCCTACAAGTGGACTGCATTCTTGGGGTGGCAGAGCCCAGGGCGTGCTCTGGCTCCTGGAGCAGAATCCCTGTGGATGCTGATGGAGGATGAGAGGAGCTGTTCTCCCGTTCCCAGTATGCCCAGTTTGGGATCTCACCTGTGGCTGTGGGAGCTGTGCCCCCATTCCCAGTATGCCCAGTTTGGGAGCTCACCTGTGGCTTTGGATGCTGCATCCCTGTGGATGCTGATGGAGGATGAGAGGAGCTGTGCCCCCATTCCCAGTATACCCAGTTTGGGAGCTCAGCCGTGGCTGTGGGAGCTGTTCTCCCGTTCCCAGTGTGCCCAGTTTGGGATCTCACCCGTGGCTGTGGGAGCTGTGCTCCCATTCCCAGTGTGCCCAGTTTGGGAGCTCAGCCGTGGCTCGGAGCAGCCGTGTTAAAGCCGAGCTCATTACGTAAGCTGTGGCTGTTCTGTGCCTGTGCTGCTGAGCTGAGTGACAGCAGGGAGGCTGGTCCCCTCTGCTGCGTCACTGCCAGGGTGACACGGCCGGGGGGGAGCCAGGGACAAAGGTTGGGAGAGCTGGAGCAGCCGGGGAAGCGTCGCTGCTCGGGGCAGAAACAGCAGGAGGATCCTTGCAGCTTCTCCTTGAGCAGAATTCAGGAGCTGCAGCTGCAGGGAGGAGCTGGGAGCAAGCCTGAAATCCAATAATTGCTGCCCCCAGCCAGCATGGAGGATTCTGCAGAGCAGAGTCAGGAGATGAGGTACCACATGCTGCAAAGGTAAGAATCGCACATCTGCCCGTGTCCCCTGCTGGGCTCTGTGCTGGGGATGCTCCCTGAGCTTTTGCTGTTGGTTTTATCCTCTGGATCCTCACAGAGCTCTCTGTGCATGCAGCCTGGGACAAAGATGCCAGGGTGCAGCTCAGGCTCGTTCAAGTTCTGCACAACTTCTACCCCCTGTGAGCTCGGAAGGGTTAAAAAGCATTTTGAAAATTCCTCCATCACAAAACGTGGCAGTTGTGAGCAGGTGATTAACAGGGATGACAGTCACTAACTCGGCATTTATTCTGTTTTGTTTAGAGCTCTGTGCTTTCTTCCTTCGTGTCCAGCTTCTACCTCATCTTATCCTGCAAAGAAAACCCAACCCCAACTCTTCTGTTTTGATTACAATGTGCAGCCTGTGATTATTGATAAATAAACTTAATGTTTTTGGCATGTTCACAAGTCAAACTGTAGTTGTTTATGTCCAAGTGTTTGTTGCATCCTGGGTGATGAATCTCAGGCTCTATTAACATTTTGCCTGTAGCAATATCTTGTGTGCAGTAATTTCTTGGTGGGACAGTTCGTATTTAAACACATTCACAAATTCTCACCTTGGGATTTTTATCCCTTCTTATTTTTGTTGAGTCTGCTCTCACTAAACGTGTAATGCATGAACTTCTCTCACTCCTTGGAGTGTGCTCCTTCCTTGCCAGGAAGACTTTGACCCCCTAAATGCACAAATTTAGTAGAAATTCCACCTTAACTCCACATTTTCTCTCTTTCTTGCCTGTTGGCTCCTGTCCTTGTATTCCCAGGCTGAGTTCACAGGAGTGTGAGAACTTTTGCTCGCAGGGACACGTTCTAAGTTTGGTGACAATGTCTGGAAGTGCAGCTGCCTGGAAGAAGGGAAAGTATGAGGGAACGAAGCTGTGCACACAGAGCTTGTTCTTCACCTTTCCCTGGCTGCCTGCTCCCTCTCTTCTCGGGGATAAGAGACTCTGGAATTGGTCTGACCTAGCAGAGCCATTTCTGTGTCCCACAGTGTCACTGGGAGTGACAGGGCTGGTGTCACTGTGCTCCTGGTGAGGTGTTAAGGAGGGTCTGTGCTCCAGAATCAGAATAAATAAATCAGGTGGTGTTTCTGAAGGAATGTGAGGGGGAATCCTGTGTTCCCTGTCAGCAGCTCAGGGATGCTCCAGCCCCGCCCTGGGGCAGGTGCAGCTCCTGGGCTCCCTGGCTTTGGTGTTGTGATGGTGAAAGGAAATCTGTAGACCTGCCTTGGCTTCTCCTGGTGTTGTTTTTCCCTTTGTGCCCTCCCCCAGCATCCATCCCATCCCATTCCCAGTGGAATTACTCAATGGAACAACCCTTCAGCAGCTGATTAGGCCAGAGGTCCCATCCAGAGCACAGATCTGCCAGTGCCCAGCACTGACCCCTTGGTGCTCTCGGGGCTTCCCAAAGCTCTGAGCTGAGCTTCCCAATCTTCATTCCTCTAAAAGGGTTCTGTGATGCTGCCAGGGCTTCCCCGTGTTCCTGGGAAGGGAAACTGTCAGGGAAAGCACAGTGCAAACGAGTAAACTGTGGGGTGAGCAGAGAGGTGCAGCTTCAGTGCCTGTGAAATAAAAAGTGTCTCGTTAATTCCCAGTCCTCACTCGGTGTGAGGAGCAGCTCTGTGCTTTTCCCTGGAATTTCCTCTCACAGACTCAGCTTTGTCAACTTCAGCAAATGAAGAAAAAGGTGATCTACCCCAGTGTTGTTGCTGTGGGAGCTGAAGCAGCAGGAGGGGACGTGGCTGTGGCAGGGCACGGGGCTGGTCTTGGCAGGCACAAAATTGCCTTTCTGTGTTTGTAGTAGGAGTAACGTGATTAATTTGTCCTCTGGCTCTCAGAGCTTTTCAGGAAGGTATTAAAGACTGGGCACTGGAAAACTCTTGGAAAATGATTTCCATGTCCAGTCTGAGTCTCTCATTTGCACCTGGAGATAAATTTGCTGTGCTTCCCAAGAGGATTTCCTTACAGAATCTGATCTTTGGTGCTTGTTTAGTCAAAGCCAGAAATCACTGTTGTTTCCAGCTTCTCTAGATGGATTGAAAGCAATCTGGTGAAAGCAATCTGGTGGAGCATTGATGTTTTGAGTTGGGCAGCAACATACAGCAAAAGGAATTTTACCTATTTACATTTTGGCATAGCTGGAATTTTTCCAGATAACCTGAAACTTCTGATGGAAATAACTGAAAAGGAGTTTAAAAGGAATCATCCCTGTAAATCTGAGGACCAGGCCATGAGGGTGTGGAGGCAAGGAGGGATTCTGCTTGTCTGGCTGGGGAATGTGCTCAAGGAGAACTTTCACGTTGTTCACACAATTTCTCTTGCTGGTGTCCAGCTGTCCTGAGGTTGTTTCTGTGTGTCCCTGTTTCCTCAGGCCCAGCATGTCTGGTTTGCACCTTGTCAAGCAAGGCAGGGACAGGAAGAAGGTGGATGTGCAGCGAGATTTCACCGTGGCTTCTCCAGCAGAATTTGTTACTCGTTTTGGAGGGAATAAAGTTATTGAAAAGGTAAATCCCTGAGCTTTTTTTTAACATTTTACAGCTCCTCTCTGGAGCTCTGGCTTGTCTCTCTCTAAGGTTGTACATTGCAGGTATCAAATTACCAATATTTCTGAGCTTGGAAGTTGTGCTTCTGCCTGGAATCACTGTGTTTTCTTTTTCTATGTGATAAACAAACATCTCATTATTTTAGCTTAACGTAATAAAAAAAAAAAATTGAATGAGCCAGAGCACCTCTGGTGATACAGAAGGATTTATAGACAGATAAAACAAAAGTAGACTGGAAAAACACTAAGAAATGTATTTTAAAATGCCTAATAATTTGATTTGAGTCCTTCTGCTCTTTAATCCAACCAAGGCATAACACACTGAAATTTTCTGATGAAACAAGAGCTGCTCTCTGAACTGACAGATGGGCCACGAGCTGGATGCTGGCTAAAGAAAACTGCACAGCCCCAAACTGGACAAAGAGTCTGCAAGGGGAAAAAAAAAAACAAAACAAACTCCTTTCATGATTTTTAATGGTTTTGTGCTATTTAGACTCCATTTCATCCCAGCTTCTAATGCACCCAGGTCCTGATAGCAAATAATGGCATTGCAGCAGTGAAATGCATGAGGTCCATCCGGCGCTGGTCCTACGAGATGTTCAGGAACGAGAGAGCCATCAGGTTCGTGGTCATGGTCACTCCTGAGGACCTGAAAGCCAATGCAGGTGAGCTGGGGAGCTGGGCAGGGGTCACAGCCTTCTCCTTGGGGAGGTGGCAGGGGTGGAATGTCCCCCTGATGTGTCAGGGGTGGGGTGTCCTGCAGTGGGTCAGAGCCAGCCCTGTGAGGAGCAGCTCAGGGAGCCGGGAGGGCTCAGCCTGGGGGAAAGGAGAGTTTTAGAGCACGTCCTGCTGTTAGATTTGCAGCCTGAGCCCTGAACGGGAGCTCCTGTGTGTTTGCAGAGTACATTAAAATGGCAGATCACTACGTGCCCGTCCCGGGAGGACCCAACAACAACAACTATGCAAACGTGGAGCTCATCCTCGATATTGCCAAGAGGATTCCAGTGCAGGTGAGAAATGCCACAGACACTGAGCAATCTTCTCTCCTTCAATAACCATTGTGCCTGGGGAGGCACGACAAAGAAACTGGAATTCCAAACTAAATCAGCACCCAGAGGCAAGCCATGGGACAGTGCAGTGGCTGTCCCGGTATGAATATCTGCAGGACAGGGAGGTTCCTGCAGCCTTGCACTTCCCTTCTCCCAGCTCCTCCTCAGCAGGTTGCTTGCACTTGTCGTCCTTTAAATTCAGCACACCCTGTGCCTCAGAGGCTGCTCTGGCTCCTGGGTGTTCTGGGGCTTTTTTTCCATGAGGAAAAGAAAGACTTGGAGTGTTTGCATGTGTCTGTTTCTGCTCGCTTGCTTGTTTTCTTCAAACAAAGAGCAAATTGTTTCTTTCCTCCTGCAGGCTGTGTGGGCTGGCTGGGGCCATGCATCAGAGAACCCCAAACTGCCAGAACTTCTGCACAAAAACGGGATTGCTTTCATGGGTGAGGAGATGGACTGCTCATCTGATGTCTAGTCCTTGTTTGAACTGGGGGAGTTTAGGGAGATAGAAAATCCTGAGTCCAAGACAGAGCCACGGGGAATGGTCTGCAGTGCAAGATGGATGATCTGTTCTTTACAGTAGTTCTTGTATGGAAGAAGGGGAAAGTTTTCCAAAATAGCCTTTAATGCTGAGATAAAAAAAAAGATTCCTGTTAAACCAGATTGTTCCTGTTCTCGTTTTAAAGGGGGTTCAGTTTTATGGGAAGAGTGGAGTTTTTCCTAACATGTCCCTAATGTCTGATACCCCTTGTGTCTGTCTCATGCATTGCCTTTGATCTTTCAGGTCCTCCCAGCCAAGCCATGTGGGCCTTAGGAGATAAAATTGCTTCTTCCATCGTGGCTCAGACTGCTGGCATTCCAACTCTCCCTTGGAGTGGCAGTGGTAAGAAGGAAATTGTCCTGTGTTTATCAAGATCATCCCTCATCTTCTTTTCCTACTACAACATGTCAAATTTTTAAGAAGCTCTGTGCTCAAAAGTGTGTTCAGAGTTTCCCATTTGTGCTGTTTGCTCTGAACATCTGAACATCTCACCTGGTACAGCCAGGGCTTGGACACACCTGGTCTAGTGGAAGGTGTCCCTGCCCATGGCAGGGGGTTGGAACAAGATGATTTTTAAATTCCCTTCCAACCCAGACCATCCCATAATTCTGTCCAGTTTTGGAGCCCATACTCTGCTTCCATGGAAGTTCCTGTGCAGTTTCAAAACACTAAACAACAGCCTGCTTCTCACATTTAAATGGAGGGGGATAGAATTGGATAAAAACTCTTTCTCCCCAGAAATCAGGAATCTCTGTTTTCCATTCTAAGGGCTCCCAGCCTGGTTCCTCAGGCAGCTGTGGCTGTGCCTTGTGTCACCCACATCCTACAGGTGACTTCTCACAGCCAGGGAGCTCAGAGGGTGATGTTTGTGTTGCAGGTCTTCGGGTGGACTGGCAGGAGAATGATCTGCAGAAACGCATCCTGAACGTTCCCCAGGAGCTCTACGAGAAGGGCTACGTGAAGGATGCAGATGATGGACTCAGGGTGGGTCTGGGGAGGGCTCAGGGGGTCACAGAGCTGGGCTGGAGCCTTCTCCTCATGGCACCACAAACTGGAACCACTCTGCAGCCCCTGGAAACTGGGAAGTGATCATTGACAAATTTGGTTTGGAGAACTGGGTGAGGATTGGCAGGGAGAGGCAAAATATGGGACCAAGGTTGTGTGGCATTAAAAGCTGTCAGCTGGTTTTTTGTTTAGTGCAGGAAGAAGTTTTTAGTAAAAACCCACAGCCACACACTTGACTTCATCTTTGGAGTTTCTCCTTGAGGAAGAGTTTTAGAATAAGAAATATTCCTGGCATAATACAGGATGTGGAGTTTTCCTTTGTGAAGAGCAGGGGTGGAGTGTGTGATTTTTGCATGTTACCCAGCTCAATGATTTTCTATATTGTACAAAAGCTTTTCTGTGAATTCGTAGATTTAATGGCATTGAAGCACTGACAAAACCTTTTGTAGTCACTTGGAGAGGTCAGATTTCTCTGTAATCACAAAATCCCTGGATTTTTCCAGCTACAGGCTCTCTCTCCAATGGGATATTTGGTTTCTATCCCATTGGTTGCTAAATAGTCAGATATGGAAGCTTGGATGTGACTCCACAGGGAAATACTGATCTTTTCACTGGGTTCTGCTGCCTTTTTGTACTTAACCTGTTGTTCTGCCCACCTTGCCAGGCTGCTGAGGAGGTTGGCTACCCTGTCATGATCAAGGCTTCTGAAGGAGGAGGAGGAAAAGGAATCAGGAAAGTGAACAATGCAGATGACTTCCCCAATCTCTTCAGACAGGTGAAGACAGATAAATCTTTCCCCAGTGCTCTGTGCTGCCTTGTTCTAAACGCTCGGGTGCCTGCGAGACCTCAGCACTGAAGGTCCAGCTCACACAAGACGTTCATTCTGTCCCTGCTCTAGGTTCAAACTGAGGTGCCAGGCTCTCCCATCTTTGTGATGAGGCTGGCCAAGCAGTCCAGGCACCTGGAGGTGCAGATCCTGGCAGACCAGTATGGCAATGCCATCTCCCTCTTCGGCCGGGACTGCTCCGTGCAGCGCCGGCACCAGAAAATCATCGAGGAAGCTCCAGCCTCTATTGCGACCTCGACAGTGTTTGAGCACATGGAGCAGGTGAGAGGGGCTCTGCAGCTTCTCCTGCCCTGGCCAGGCTCCAGAAACAGGCAGGACTTTGTATTTTTATTTTACGTCACCCGGAGTTTGGCGTTGCTGAATGTTCCAAAGGAGCAACAGAGGGTGAGAGTGGCTCAAACTGCTTTGTGTGGGCAGCCACTCACATTTCCACACTAAATCCCACCAGCAGCTCCTTTCGAAGATCTGTGCCCCCCAAAAAGGGGAGGGAAGTGTGTTTTCAATGTGTGTTACCATATTAAAAGCGAGTTTCAGGAGTTGCAGGTATTGTGTAATGTTGAGTGTTGCAAATATTTGCTTCAAACTCTGCCTTCTGTAAATTGTAGATGAAATTAGTTGGAAATCAAAACTCCTGTGCCACAGGCTTTCCTCTGAGCAGGTCTGGAGCCTGTTATAAGTTTTGGGGCGTTTCAGAATGTCAGCAGAAATCTGAAGTGAGTGTGGTGGATGAACAGAGAGAGCACAGGTAACTGGCAGTGCAATATTTCTCTTTTCCTGTGTCCCAGTGTGCAGTGAAACTTGCCAAAATGGTCGGGTACGTGAGTGCAGGCACTGTGGAGTACCTGTACAGCCAGGATGGCAGCTTCTACTTCCTGGAGCTGAACCCACGCCTGCAGGTGGAGCATCCCTGCACGGAGATGGTGGCAGATGTCAACCTGCCAGCAGCACAGCTCCAGGTGAGCACAGAAAATTGGGTTTCTCATCTTTCAGCAAGTTCAGGAGTTGTTTAAAGTTCCCCAAAGCCACCAGGGGATCCCTCAGAGATGCTGTGGAGAGCAGGTGTTGATGTGCTGTGGTTTGTGTGTGTCCCCCCCAAACTCCTGGCCCTCAACTTTCCAGCAGTGGGTGGATGCCACAGTCCCCTCACACCTGTATTGTTTTCTACTTCTTTTTTGAACTGTATCTGTTAAAATGAACAGGGCAAGTGGAATTTTGCCTCATAAGAATGCAGCCAGCAGCTGGTTCTGCAGGTTACTCTCCCCACAGTTTATAATTGCAAAATTCCCATTTCCTATAACCAATTAGGGCCCTTCTGTCTCACTGGGACCTCAGTATATTTTTAACAGGCCTAATGCCTGCCCATCCTCAGCTGACCTGGCACTGTCAGCTTTCCCTGGAGCCTTTTAATCAGTCAATGGAAAATACTGGCTGAAGGGCTTAAGGTGGATATTACACTGAGCTGAGTTGTCCTGGGAAGTGTGAATGTTTGACTCTGTGAGGAGAGAAACTTAGTGGTGGGTTTTTTTAATAATTTTTTTGTTTGTTTGTTTGTTTGTTTCTCCTTAGATTGCCATGGGGATCCCTCTCCACAGGATCAAGGACATCAGGGTGATGTATGGAGTTTCTCCCTGGGGAGACACAACCATTGATTTTGAGAACTCAGCCCACGTCCCCAGCCCCCGTGGCCACGTCATTGCTGCCCGGATCACCAGTGAGAATCCTGACGAGGTGAGGCTTCAACTTCTGTGCTCCCCGTGGGCTTTACAGGGCCAGTCCCTGCTGCTGTTGCAACTTCTGGCAGCAAATTTAAAAGATTCTTCCCTTAGCTCACTCAGACTCGGCTTAGGCACAACCTGAAGTTGTTATACCGTGCTGCAGCACACAGAGGTGTTCTCAGAGCCTCCAGGACACTAATTCTGGATTATTCACCTTTTCTTTAGGGCCCAGAGCAATGTTTGTCTGTCTTTGCAGGGATTTAAACCCAGTTCTGGCACAGTTCAGGAGCTGAATTTCCGCAGCAATAAGAATGTCTGGGGCTATTTCAGTGTGGCTGCTGCAGGAGGGCTCCATGAATTTGCTGATTCCCAGTTTGGTCACTGCTTCTCCTGGGGAGAGAACCGTGAAGAAGCCATCTCGTGAGTCAGAAATGTGGGAGAGCCTTGGGAATTGCTTGGGTTTGTCCCCTTTGATCCAAAGTGCCACAGGAAAACAAGGCTCCTTCCTTCTAGGAGTTTCCAGAAAAATGTCCTGAAAAATCTCCCTGTCTTTGTTTTGTTTTCCATTTCTTGGTCAGGCTTCTCATCCTGTCTTGCTTTGCAATTCCACTGTGTTGCACCTCTATTTCTATACTTTTTGCTTGATTTTCTTTCTTTTTTTCTGTTTCATCCTTGCCTTGTATACCTGCTGCTGGGCTGTGACACAGCTACCCCTTTCACAGTGTGAAAATCCCTCTTTAATTTAAGGCATCCAGGAAAACAACAGGGAAAACATTGCTAACCTGGCTTACCAATGCTTCAGGATGGTTAGTGAACCACGGAGTGTCCTCTGTGGTGTGGGATTTTCAAGCACCTGGTCCTAAGGCAGACCTGTCTGACCTGTCACCCACGGTTTTCATCCAGAGCCTTTCCCCACTTCCACTCTGGGTGGGGTGGACACCACGTCTGTCTGTCTGTCTGTCTGTCTGTTGTATGCCCCTGACACGTGGTAGGGCCCTGGGTGATGCTAACAGAGGGAATTCCTGATCCCACTGAGCTGCTCTTCACAGCAGCAGCAGAGAAATCAACATCCTCCCATTCCCAAACATTCCCACAGGATCCTGCTCCAGTGCCTGTGCTCTTCTGCTCTGACCTTCAGGTGCTTTTCTGTCTGGGTGCTGCCATTAGGATGGGATCGATAACAGGGCTTCTTTCCCCTTTCAGAAACATGGTGGTGGCTCTGAAGGAACTCTCCATCCGAGGGGACTTCAGGACCACTGTGGAATACTTGATCAAGCTGCTGGAGACAGAGAGCTTCCAGCAGAACCGCATCGACACGGGCTGGCTGGACCGGCTCATCGCTGAGAAAGTGCAGGTGCAGCTGCTTCCCCCTGCAGGAGCACTCTTGGGAATGAGCTGGGGTGGTGCCTGCTGGTGCAAAAGGGGTTAGGAATGGTGAATGTCCACTTAGGGAAGAAACATTTTCAGTGGCATTGTATATTGAAATCCTCTGTTGTCCCTGTTGGGGAAGGTTGGTCTTAGAGTTGTCCAGAAAAGCATTGAGACCAGTGTTATGTTTGGGATTTGGGACAGATGGCAGTGGAAATGTTGTTGGAACCTTGAGATTTGATCCAGGCAGAAGCAAATGTAGTTTTAAGGAGTTACAGAAATAATGGCTTCTGTGTAGAGTTCACATGGCTGCTGCACTGACTTTGGATTTTAAAGAGAGTTGTCCATGAACCAAAAATAGAGCTGAGACTGCTGCTTCTTCTGGCTGGGTGTTGAGATTGGGCTGAAGCTGGAGGAGGTGTGACTGTGTGTGTGTCCCCTTTTTTAGGCTGAGAGGCCTGACACCATTCTGGGGGTGGTGTGTGGGGCTCTGCACGTGGCTGACGTGAGCTTCCGAAACAGCGTCTCCAACTTCCTGCACTCCCTGGAAAGGTAAAAAGTGCAAGCTGCTCTCCCAGCAGTTCCTCCTGGTGCACAAGTTCTGTTCAAGGAATGCTCAGGGCTTGTTATCTGCTGGCTGTTTCCTGGCCCCAGGGAGCTCTTTATCTGCTGAGAAAACTGGCAGGTATCTGCATCTCCTCAAAATATCCCCTGCTGTCTGTACAGATCGCTTTGGTTTGCAGCAGGAGCTCCAGGAAATGGCTCAGAAACATGGAGTTCTTGCTCTGTGTGCTGCTAGGACAGCATTTGGGAGTCTTGAATCCCCCAGGAATGAATGGAAAGGAGAGCAAAGCTGGCCTGTGTGGCTGGAGGGACTTTGTTTGACTTGGTCAAACTGATTCGTGTCTCTCCTAAGAAGAGACTCTATAAAATCCTGCTCCCATCTCTCTGCTTGTGTTCCCTCAAGCCTTGCATGCATCTCTGAAGCTCTTTGGACCCCTGGTAGTCATTTGGTGGCTTGTGGAAGATCAGTTTTGTTTCGTATTTCTCTTTCCAGGGGCCAAGTGCTCCCTGCTCACACTCTGCTCAACACGGTGGACGTGGAGCTCATCTACGAGGGACGGAAGTACGTGCTGAAGGTAAAGAGTGTGGGACCCACCCTCCTGCCCCTGGGCTGGCCATGGCCACGTGTGCTGCTCTGGCCTCATCTGTGCACAAATCTGTGCAGGGAGTTCTGTCTGAGCAGGGTTTATTTTCTCTGCTTTAGTGGGTGAAGAAATCAGCACGGCCTCCTTTACGACACCCCTGCATTGCAATGTCTCTGTAAACATTTCAGCCTCTTGCTCTGAGTAGGGTGAAAACTGCTTTGTTACAGGCAAACACTACTAGAGGTTGACCAAAACTTCCAGCTGATTTTTCTCACAGTGTAGGTCTACTCTGCTGGGATTTTAACACACCAATGTGACAGGATTGGCAGCAGTTTTTCCCCGTGGTGTTGCTTTTTTGCTGCATGCAAAACCCCGTGTTGCAAAAGCAAACATATGAAAGTTAGGAAATATTAGACTTAAGGTTGCCTGTGCAATCTTCATTAGCTTCCTTGGGCAAATTTGTGGTGGTGGAGTTTTTAATGACAAGACCATGGGCTTGTTTTTGCAGCAGTGAGAATTCTGCATTTCTGCACCTCCTTGGGTTTATCTTTGATGAGGAATAGAGGCATGGAGCAGCAGCTGAAGTGCTCTATAAAGGATTTACCCAGCTTCAAATAGGAGCTCTGGGGCAGAGACTGGGATAGGAACCTTTTCTCCAGGGAAAGGAGCACTTGTTGCTTTTCCTATGGGACAATCTCTCTTTTTTTCCCCCCTGAATTATCTCCTCCATGATGCAGTTTTAGTACACAACTGTCACCTGTGACTTGTAAGTAGATGAGGGTGAGAAAATGGTCTGTGCTTGCACAATCAAACCTCGGCCATCAGTGCAAAAGTGTGAGAGGATGAAATCAACATTCATGGACAGCAGTAGTTCTGGCATCTCTTGACTGCTGTGTCACAGAATCCCAGACTGGTTTGGGTTGGCCCTTGTAAATCTCTCTCTGCCTTTCTTCAGGCAGTGGAAGGCCACAGCTAAATCACCCCAGAATTCTCTTCTCCAGGCTGAACAATCCCAATTCTCTCATCCTTTCCTCACAGGAGAGATGCTCCATCCCTCTGATCAACTTGCTTGCCTTCGTGACCCCAATTCTTTTACACGACATCAAACACCTCAGTTCCTCTTCGTTAATTCCCACCATTGCAGCACTTGAAAAACTCTTGTGTTGTGGCAGCTGAGACACTCAATGCTGTTCTCAATCCACTGGGTCATTCCCATTGTTGTGTTCTTGCAGGTGACCAGGCAGTCTCCCAATTCCTACGTGGTCATCATGAACAGTTCCTGCGTGGAGGTCGATGTGCATCGCCTGAGTGACGGGGGGCTGCTCCTCTCCTACGATGGCAGCAGCTACACCACCTACATGAAAGAAGAAGTGGACAGGTAAAAACCTGTGCAGCTCCATGTTTAGCATTTACACAGCCAAAATGAGGTGTGTGTGTAACTTCCTGCTTCCCAAAAGGTCAGCTGGGAATGGAATTCTCTCCTGGAAAAAGTTTGCTAAGTGTACTGTGGGTGAGTTTGAAGACAGAACAGATCTTGGTTGCTGTTAGATGAAAGATCTTATTGTGTGAGACATATGGAGTCCATATTCCTCTGCTTGGTCCTTAAAAGTGACTTTTGGGATTATAAAAACAAACAAAAAAACCTTAGAACCTGAAAACCTTTTAAAATTCTTGAAATTCCACAGCTGCTTTAGAAATAAGGACAAGTTTCAGTGCATCCCCTCAAAATTCCCTGCAAGGATCATAGCAGAAAGGGCAGTAAAGGGCATCCCCAGGTCTGGAATGTGAACTCTGCCCCTCTGCTGTGTTATCTTCTGGGAAAAGTAATGGATCTGCTCAGGAGGACAAAGAATTCGGGGAACTTTCTGGGTTTGAATCTCAGAAATCCCTCAGAGGTATTTTCCCTTAGCTTTGTTTCGAGGTGGAATAGGGAAGGAGAGACTGGATTTTCCCTTTCCCAAGCCTTCCCCAGGGAATTCTGTTGCACTGATCTGTCCTGTCCTTGCCTAGGTATCGCATCACCATTGGGAACAAGACCTGTGTGTTTGAGAAGGAGAATGATCCCTCCATCCTGCGCTCCCCTTCTGCTGGGAAGCTGATCCAGTATGTGGTGGAGGATGGGGGACACGTGTTTGCAGGCCAGTGCTTTGCAGAAATTGAGGTAAAAGTCTCAGAGAACTGGTTTGGCTGCCCAGGAAAAAGCTCAGGGGAGGGAGGGATGTTGGATGTTTTGGGACTGGGAGTTGAGCATGAGGGATAATTCATGGTGTTTAATTTATAAATTCTAACCTGAACTACAGCAGGAATCATCAGTGAGAGTGATGGGGTGGGAAGAAATTAACAGCTGAAATTTGAATGTTAATGACTGTTCACCAAGTGATAAAATTTCTCAGCGGTGAGACCATGGTTTTGACCTTCCCGAAATTCCAGGGGAAGGTGAGATCCATGTTAGCCAGCTGTGGTGAAGGCTTCTCCTTGTAGTACTGACACAGACTCTGTGCCAGGATGAAGTAACAAACTTCATCCTGGTTAGCTGATCATTTATCAGGTCAATCCCAGGAGTTAATAAGTGTCACTCCTCCCTTCTCCCTGGGAAGTTACTTAACTCTTACCGAGGAGGAGGATGAGCAATTTCTGCATCACAGTGAGGAAAGCACAAGGGGTTGTGTAGGAGTGTGGGCTCAAAACAGATTTGAGGGAGGGGAAGGTGTGTGATGACAGAGGGGCAATTAAACCAGCTGGGGACAATGTGTAGGAGAAAAATATCAAGACACAGATCCAGCTATTTTATGTAAGTGCTTTTGCACTGCAACAGGTCATGGCTAAGAAGGCACCACCCACACAATCCCTGTGGCTCCCAGTGGTGTAGAGCAGAGCAAGGATAAAACCAAACTGGCTCCCCCAAACCCAACCCTGCTGCTCCAAAGGCTACAGCTCTTGATCTAAGGAAGCATTTCTGTCTGGGAGCTCTAGGAAGTGATCCTGGTTCCCTCTGTGGAGGAGCCTTTGAGAGGAGCCTTTGGAATGCAGCAGAAAATTGTCTGCTTTGTTCACTGTGCTGAGTGTGGGACATTCCTGAGTCCCCTGTTGGCTCAGGCATTGTGAGCAGTGACATCCCTCAAGTTCCTGCTGCACTCTTTTGTGACAAATTATTTTATTCTCCCATTCACTTTAATGTCTGGATTTTGTTCCCAACATCTGTGCTTGCAAGTTTTGGGAACACCTGAATGTCTGTCTGTGGTGGGACACTGCCTGCTGGCTCCCAAACCTGGAACCGTTTTGGGGCACATGGAGCTGAGTGTGTAACCTGTTTTCCTTGCTACAGGTGATGAAAATGGTGATGACAATAACAGCAGGAGAATCAGGCTGCATCCACTATGTCAAACGGCCAGGGGCAGTCCTGGACCCAGGCTGTGTGATTGCCAAGCTCCAGCTGGATGATCCCAGCAGGGTTCAGCAGGTGAGGAGTTGCAGCAGGCACAGATTTTGTGGGGTTTTAATGAGGGACTGATGTCCAGAGTGGTACAAATGGTGCAGTGAGCCAGTTCCCCATTTGTGCATTGTACTGGAATTGTCACTTCACTGTTTATTTGTCTCAGGTGAGGACTGGGACTGAGATTTTTCTCTCTCTCTTTCTGATTCAGGCTAAACTTACTTTCCATTCCTGCTCTCAGTTTACCTCAGCACTGTTGTGGGGATGTGTCTCTCAACCAAGTGCATTTCCCCCTCTGGGAATCCTTGCAAGTTAAACCTCGGCTCCAGCTGTGGGTAGCTGTTTGTTGCCCATGCCTGGTGTCCCCAGGAGGCTCAGTGAGGCTGTTCCTTGTTGCAGGCTGAGCTGCACACGGGTACCCTGCCCCAGATCCAGAGCACAGCTCTGCGGGGCGAGAAACTCCATCGCATCTTCCACTACGTCCTGGACAACCTGGTCAACGTGATGAATGGCTACTGCCTGCCAGAGCCCTTCTTCAACAGCAAGGTACTGGGGGCCTCTTCTTCCAGAGCCAAAACACAGCGTTCCTGCAGCTCAAGGAAGGGTTGGGCAATTTTTCTGCCACAGGGCAGCACCTGTGAGATGGGATGTTGGACATCGCCCCTCTCCTTTTTCCCCTTCTTGTTGTTTATTCTCTTCTTCACTCTTGCCTTCACACTGCCTCGTTTCTCTCTAGGTGAAGGGTTGGGTTGAGAGATTAATGAAGACCCTGAGGGATCCATCTTTGCCCCTGCTGGAACTTCAGGACATCATGACCAGTGTTTCTGGACGGATACCACCCAATGTGGAGAAGTCCATCAAGAAGGAGATGGCCCAGTATGCCAGCAACATCACCTCGGTCCTGTGCCAGTTTCCCAGCCAACAGGTGACCAACCACACTTCATGGAGGGATAAAAACTGGTTTGTGTGGGGGCAGAGAGAGAGAAAGTTCCTTTAAATGACATGGAGGTTAATTGAACCTGGAGGGTGTGTTTGGACATGGGGTCCTCATGGTGAAAGGAACTTACCTGTGTCCCTTCAAGGCTTGTCTCTTCACCTGTGCTGAAGGGTACGTGTTCCCTGCTCAGCATAGCTTTAACCAGGCACTTTGGAAACATTTGAATCTTATCAGTGGCCCTGTGCAAATAAATGCATAAAAAAGCATTTATTTCATTTTGGCACGGTACATGTGCTGCAGTGCCATTTGTAGTGCCAGTGCAACCTCAAAAAACAATGATTGCAGCCAAGGTGGGGTAAGGGGATGCTGGAAACTGATTTCTCCACCGCATGACACAGTGCAGTGATTTTTGTATCACTAGCACACCTTGAACTTCCTTTGTGGAGTCTGCTGGGTCTCTGGTGTGTCTCTGCTGCTAAAGACTCCACCAAATGTTAATAGTCCTGACTGACCTTTTTTTTTTTTTTTTTTTTTTTTTCAACGCGTTTCCCCTCTCAGATTGCCAACATCCTGGACAGCCACGCTGCCACCCTGAACCGCAAATCGGAGCGCGAGGTTTTCTTCATGAACACTCAGAGCATCGTGCAGCTCGTGCAGAGGTCAGCCTGTGCCAGGGGTGTCCTGCAGGGGTGTCCTGCCCCAGCAGCCGTGGCAGGGGCTGTGTGTGTGTGTGTTCAGCCTCGCTCAGGGCTGGCTCGGTGGTGTTTTTTTTCCCCCCGCAGGTACCGCAGTGGCATTCGGGGCCACATGAAGGCCGTGGTGATGGATCTGCTCAGGCAGTACCTGAAGGTGGAGACTCAGTTCCAGCACGGTGAGTTCCTCATCAGGGATTTGGTTTCTTACAGAGTCGTGTTTAGTCCTGCAAAGTCCACGTGGGCCCTTTGGAGAAGGTTTGCTCTCACTTTGTGCTGAGGGTGAGGCTTGTTTTTAAGTCAGATCCAGGGTTTTGTAGAGGAGGTTCTGTCCCCAAAGCTCAGCTGAAGCTGAGAGGTGAAATCAATGCCTTGCACTGCTGTATCCAGGCACAAGATGGCAATGAAGCCCTGGCTGATTTGAGGCTGGGGCTCTTACAGGTAGTTCAGATTCCACTCTTTTGTCCTGCTCCATTACCTGCCCTGGCCTAATGGTACTGCAGATTCATTTCCACTTCAATTTGCTGGCAGCAGAGGATGGTGCGAGGCTTTTTGCTGTTATTTCATTCTGGTTGTCATTTGAATGAAAGTCTGAGCTCCCTATTCCTCCCTCACTATTGCTCACAAAGGAGGCATTTGGTGTTGGAGCTGTTTATTAAGAATGGGATGTTAGAATTAAAGTTTGCAGTAGGTGATGGTGGGAATGATTCCTGCCCAAATTGATTGTGTGGACCACAGAGAAACACAGAATGCTCTGGGTTGGAAGGGACTTTAAAGCACATCTCATTCCACCCCTGCCATGAGCAGGGACACCTCCCACTATGCCAAGCCCTGTCCAGCCTGGCCTTGGACACTTCCAGGGATGCAGGGGCAGCTTTTCTGGGCACCCTGTGCCAGGGCCTCCCCAGCCTCACAGAGAGGAATTTTTTTCAAATACTCAACCTAACCCTGCCCCCTGTCAGTGTGAAGCCATTCCCCCTTGTCCTGTCACTCTACCCCCTGTGAATAGTCTCTCTCCACCTTCCTTGTCAGCTCCCTTCAAGCCAAGGAGAGTCTCAAAAAATACACCTAGAAAAATAAAGGCCCACCTAATAACTTGTAATCCTTGCCACAGAGGTGTGAAGACTGGGAAAGAAATGTGCATTTCTGCCTGCAGGTCACTATGACAAGTGTGTCTTCACCCTTCGTGAGGAGAACAAGAGTGACATGAACGCAGTGCTGAACTACATCTTCTCCCATGCCCAGGTCACCAAGAAGAACCTGCTGGTCACAATGCTCATTGTGAGTGTCTGCTGCTCTCTCTTTCTCCCTCTCTTTTTCTCTCTCTTTCTCTCCTTTTATTTTACAAGCATAATGTGGTCTCTTACTGCTAAAAATACATCCAAAGTAGCCATCCACGAAATAACTCCAAAGCAAAAGAAGTGTCATAATTTTCCTAGATTGAGGCTGTGTTTCTTAAATTCTTATTTGTAAGATGTAGGGATGCTGGTGTTCTTTCTTCCTGCCTCTCCTTTTTCCCCTTTTTTTCCCCCCTTTCCCTTTTTGGTGTGTGGTGTGATTGTAAGTAACGCTTGCCTTAAGAATCTCATTATTTGAACACGGAGCCATATTTCCTCTGAGAATTCTGGAGTAGCTTTGAGCTGGGGCTGTTCATTTCTCAAGTAATCACGCTGGCGTGATGGAGAGAGAAAATGGCAGCTGTTCACAGCTCAGGCCTTCAATTTTCTTCAGAGTCCAGTCACTCAAGTGTGTAATTACACGGGGGTGCTGGTGAGGCGTTAGCCCTTGTCAGAGAGCTGGGCTGAGGCTTTGCTGCTGCCTTTGCCAATCAGTGCAGGCAGAGCCAGAGCCTGCCTTTGGCTTCTTCTTGTCATCCTGATGATGATTCCTTGCTAAAATGGGACTGGAACTTTTGGTCTGGTTTGTCACCTGGTGCGAGCTGGCTCTTGGTGTTGGGAGATCTCAGAGAGCCTCCCTGTCCCTTCCTCTTGGGTCATTCTTGCCACCACCACTGCCAGTTAGTTCTGCTCAGGTAAAGGCCAACATCCCAGAGCTTGAAACACCAGGGAGACCGTGGTGGAAGGGCTCAGTTGTCTCCTGTTACCTCAGTTATCACTCCTGGTTAACCAAGGGCCATTGGTGAGGCCACGGTGCTGCCTCAGGGGGGCACAGGGATTTCCCCTCTGGGGTGGGAACAGGGCACAGGGATTTCTCCTCTGGGGTGGGAACAGGGCACAGGGATTTCTCCTCTGGGGTGGGAACAGGAGCTCCAATGTGCCTGTGGTCACCCTTGGCACAGCTGGGTGTCCCTGAGCTGCCAGGCACTCCATGAGCCATCACTCCTCTCCCTTCCAGCTCGTGGCTCCTCACGTTTGGTGTCACCACAGTGGCAGCTGTGGCGTTTTTAGGGTGGCCGAGCTGTTTGTGTGGGCTAAGGGCAGCCTCCCTGCCTGTGTGGCTGTTATTGATGTGTCCCAGGAATCCATTATTAACCAGGGGCTCTGAGGATGGCTTTAGTAATGGTGTTATGCTGCCATCACTCACCTTTTTTAGCCAGCAGGCACTGCAGGCAGGGTGGGAACTGCTTCATCCTTCATACATCTCTTGAAATATGGTGTGACTTGTTGTATGTTCATTTTCTGTGCTTAACTTATGCACATCCTGGCCTGGGCAGGATGGAGTGGCTGCTGGCATGGCAGGGTCCTGTGTCCTATCAGATTTCTGTTCCCTGGAGCAGCAGCACAACAACAGCCACGAGTTTGTGTTTCAAATCCAGCAGCTCTTGAATCCCCACAGTGTCCTGGAGTGGATAAATGCACAGAACTTCCTCTGGGAACAATCACACTCGTGTTTGGGGGCCCAGCAGTGTGGTCAGAGTTAGGGGCTCAGATGTTTTCTCAGTGGTTTCAGTGTGCTCTGTGTCCCTGGGGGATCTGTGTCACCATCCCTGGAGGTGCCATCATGCCTGAGTGGGGCTGGAGAGGGAAGGGATCAAGAGCAGTGGGAGGGAAAAGCTCTGGAGCCCTGGAATCTCGTGGACTATGAGCTGTTGTGCAGTTATTCACTCCATGGGACTTTTGTATTATTTGGCTTTGGTTTTTACTTTCTTTTCCCTGTCAATCTCACCTGCTGCACAGAGGTTTCCCCTTATCCTTTTCCATTTCTTGAATCTTCAAATGGCCTATTCTGGTCTGTAGGTGTTGAAGATCTCTTTAAACTTTTAGGCAGCAGCTCTTTCTCGTGGCAAATCCCTGTTTCATCTCACATTTCCCTCCTATGATTAATTTATCAAGACAAGCTGTTAAATGCTGTGGGGAAGAATCACGTTAGAAGCTCCTAGAGGGTTTCCAGCTTCGGGGTGGGAGGGAAGAGGCTCACAAGAAGTGTTGAAGACTGTGGGATTATTCATGGGAATTGAAACTATTTTTGGAAGAAAATCTTTACCGTTGGCATTTTTTTTGAATGGATGAATTCAGAAGAGTTTTGGAACAGCATTAACACTGGAAGTTTATGCTCTTCAGTTCTGTTGTTTTATCCAGCCAATTTGGGCAGCAAGGTAAGCTTGTGGATTTCCTCAGATCCAGGATTCTCTGGTTAGAAGAAATATTATGGAGTCAGTCCTGTAGTGTGGCAGGAAATACAGTACATTATTCATGGGTTTAGCTAGCTTTGCTTAGCCTTGTCACAGGAATGACAGATCTTTTTTTCTGGTGTTGGCTGAAGCTGCACAAAGCTTGGGTGGTTTGTGGTTGTGGAGTTGTGGGGACTTCTGAGGTTTGAGGTGTTTTTTTAAGTGGATGTCAGGAGGTTCTCTGGGAGTGTAACTCTGGTCACCCTTCATGGGCGAGGTTTGCTGACCTCTGCATGTTCCACAAGGTGTCTGGCTACAATTTAAGCTCTTTGAATTTTGCTTTGGTGCTAGGAGAAACTTCTGGTACAAACCTGAAGCTGGGGAATGGGAGAAGGTTTTCTGAGTTTCTCTGACAAGTCAGCATTTCTCACGTGTTTGGGTGCCAAAACATGTGCCACAAGTAGGAGAATGGGAGACGGTGCCTGTCCCTTCTTTCACCTTTTATTTATGTGTGTCAAATTGTTGAATTCTGAATATTTGTGTCCTTGTCAGCACAGAAATCCGGGATAATTCAGGCCAGGATAATTTAGGTCAGGACTCCTGGGGGTAGTTGTGCTCCAGCCCTGAGTGTGTGCTCGAATTCCAGGTTCAGACTCCTTTGGGGGAGCACAGACGATGCTTTCCCTCTGTCCTAAGCTTTTCTTTCTGTTGCCAGGACCAGCTCTGTGGCCGTGACCCCACCTTGACAGACGAGCTGATCAACATCCTGACAGAGCTGACCCAGCTCAGCAAGACAACCAACGCCAAGGTGGCCCTGCGAGCACGGCAGGTGAGGGATCCCTGCCCGGAGCTCTCCCCCTGGGGAAATCCACACCTCCTGATGTTTGTTTTCATCGCTGTGCAAATGGGGAGAGTAGGTTCCTGTGAGCAGCGCTTTTGCAGCTAATTAACAGTGATTAACCGTGGAGACAGGGAAAGATTGCAGTTCCCAATCGGTGGGATATTTAAATTTAACAATCATTCTTTGTCCCTGCTCCTCCAAAAAGTTTTGCCTGGCTCACACAGGAGTTAACTGGGAGTAGCCCGTGGTTTGTGTGATGGAGGAAGTGGAAATAATGCCTGGTCACTGTGGTTTTTGGTGGTTTTGTCATCTGCAAACGTGACCAGCCCGGGCTGCCTGGGTTGTGCAGGAGCATGGATGGGCTCTCCAGGTTCCTCAGCTGCCTTACAATTGTTCATCCGTGTGTGCAGAGAGCAGGGAGAGCCATTTGCACAAGAACCAGATGTTCTTTGCAGCTGCTCAGGAATTACCACAAAGAATTATCCCGGCCTTTTGCAGGGTTTCTTCCATCCTTGAGCTGCGCTTTGTCAATTTTGTTTTAACCTGGAAAAAAATGGGAAAACTCTTTGATACTGTGAATTCCAAGAGTCTGCTACAGAGCTGATTTGAATGTCACACAGGCACCCAGATATTGTTGTGAGCTTCTTCTCCAGCAGTTCGGTTTAACCCTCCCTCTGTTGCCAGGAAGGGGTGAGAGGGCTCAGTGGTTTCCTGATGACGCTGACCCCGGAGTCTGATCACTGCTCTCACTGCACAGCCCTACCTCCAGCCTAAAGCAGGAGAGCTCACACTTTAGGAGGGTCTCTCCTTTTATTTCAAAGCTTGACTATTGAAATTGAACACGGTGTTTGAAGCTGCTCGGTGACCTTCTGATTTCCTTCAGGATTGTGTTGGCGTCCTTGAACCGTTCTGCTATTGAACCTCCCCACATCAGCTGGGGATGGTGCTGCAGCCCTTGTGCTGCTCTTCCACTTCATTTTCCCTGCAAGCTGCTTCCATTTCCTACCTCTGCATCCTTCACGTTGGGCATTTCATTTCATACCTGGCCCAGGTGTGTGCTGCCTGGCCTGGCCAGGAGCAGAGCGTGGGGGTCCCCACAGCTGCTCCCTGCCAGCTCTGCTTCCCAGTGAACAGCTGGGCAGGCAATCCCCAGCTCTGGCAGCTCTGCTCTGCTAAATCACATGCACTGATGGAACTTGATTGAAGCCGTTCCCTGTCTCTGTGGGGAATTGCCAATAATACAAACAGAGCAGACACACAAATGAGGCCGGGGAGGGGACAGGGTTTTGCAGCATCCCCCCAGAATCTGGCTGCCTCTTCAGGGATGCAGCAGGCTGCTTCTGCCTGGAGCTGCCAGCCCCCTGCTGCTGCCTCCTTTCCCTGACTTTGCCCGTGTTTCCCCAGGTTCTCATTGCTTCCCACCTGCCCTCCTACGAGCTGCGTCACAACCAGGTGGAGTCCATCTTCCTGTCGGCCATCGACATGTACGGCCACCAGTTCTGCATTGAGAACCTGCAGGTACCCACCAGCCTCCTCCTCCTGCCTCCCTGCTCCCTTCTCACTCACCTCCACGGCCCAAACTCCCTGTGCCTTTGAGCTGTGCTGCTCTGGTGGCCAGCGTGGCCCCGGTTTTTGTTTTTATGCTGATGGGAGGAGAGGTGCAGGTTCCTCCCTCTGGTCACCAGACACGGGGAAATGGGGTGGAGCTGTGCCAGGGGAAGCTCAGATTGAACATTTGGGAAAGGTTCTTCCCCCAGAGGGTGCTCGGGCTCCCCAGGGAATGGGCACAGCCCCAAGGCTGCCAGAGCTCCAGGAGATCCTCTCATATGGTTTTAGTTTCAGTCCTGTGAAGAGCAGGGGGTTGCACTCAGAGATCCTTTCCAACTTCAGGTTTTTTGTGATTTAATATAAAAAAGTCATAATCTTTGATGAACAACAGGAAAAGCTTAGAAATCAGAACTAGCCAGGCTTAGATTTGGAGTTTTTCCTTTGTTGCCTGATCCTGATTGCAAAAAAGAGTTCTCTTTTAAACCTCTGCTTAATGTGATCTCTCCTAGAAACTCATTTTGTCTGAGACATCCATCTTTGATGTGCTTCCCAACTTCTTCTACCACAGTAACCAGGTGGTAAGAATGGCAGCTTTGGAGGTGAGTTTATTCCCATTGAAAGAAAAAAAAAAAAAAAAAACCAAACCAGTATTTTTAATTTTCCTGTGGATTTGATTTGTTTTGAGCACTGTCACTCTGCAAGATCCAAGAGAGCTGTAGGCTGTGTGGGATTGGGCATGCTTAGAATCTGGTGTTTAACAGCATTAACACTGATAATTGACTGAAATATCAAATTCAGGTTATGTTTGTGTGAAGACTGAGGTGGTTGAAGGCAGAAAATGAAGCTGCTGTCAGAGGCCAGGCTCACAATCCTGATGGTTCTGACCTTCCTCAAAGAACAACTTTAAATTCTGGTTGAACTGGAGTTTATCCCGCTGCTCATTTGGAGGCATCTCTTTGTTTTTTTGATACTTTAGGGGGTCTCTGGGGTGTTCCCTGCCCCAGGCCAGTGCAGCTGATGGAGTTTTTGTGTCCCCAGGTGTATGTTCGCAGGGCTTACATTGCCTATGAGTTAAACAGTGTCCAGCACCGCCAGCTGAAGGACAACACCTGCGTGGTGGAGTTCCAGTTCATGCTGCCCACCTCCCATCCCAACAGGTCAGACCACCTGCCTCTGCAGCTGGGGGTTTGGGAGGGGGCTCATCCTGAAAAAAAAAAACAAACCAGAAAACTTGTGCTAGGACTGGTGGAGAAAGGGGTTTAATTCAAGCCTGATCCAATTTTCGTGTATTTTCTGTTTTGTAACTTCAGCTTGGGTAGGAAATTTTTCTGTAGAATGTCAATTCTAGCTGAACGCTGAGCCTTCCAAAAGATACAATTCCAGGCAGAATAATCAATTAATGGGAATTTTAATACAGAACAGTCCAGCAGTCTCTGTCCCCTTCCTGCCAGCCCTTTCTGACTGCTTGTGTGGCTCTACTCCTTCCTGCCTTTGCTGGATGAGGTGACAGCTTTTGTGCACACCATTTCTGATGGAGCAGACCAAGATGAGAGTTTTACACAAAAACCTGGTGTTGACACAGTTTGATTTTCATTTTTGCATTCCTTGTGATTACGACCAAAAGCATCAACTCTTGCTGCCTCCTCCTTGAGAAGGGGATGGCATCTCCAGTTCATTAAAAAAAACCCAAGAAACCTGATTATCAGAACTGACAGGAACACGGGGTCAGGTTTGGGTTGGAAAGCTCATCTCCTTCCCAGCCCCTGCCATGGGCCAGGTTGTTGGTGGGTGTCTGTGGGCTTGGTCTGTCCCCTGTTTTCCCCACGAGGGTGTCTGTGCTGTCACCCTGGTTGGTCCCTGCTGGCTCTGAGGTCGCAGTGAGTCCCCGCAGCCACCGGGTGCCACTGTGGCTCCGTGCCTGCCCTTCCTCCCTCCTTTGTTTCCAAACCTCTCTCTTCCCTGATTTCATTTTTGGTGGGGTCCGGTCTCGCTTCATTGAGAATCCATCAGTACCTTTTATGAAATGGTTTTCAGGGTCTGCTTTGCTGGGAATGAATGGATGTCCCCAGCCAGCCCCAAACCACTCCTGCTACAAATGGGACCCGTGTTTGGGCTCATCTGTTCCCTGCATTTCTGGAATATTTGTAAATAATTGCATACTACTTTTAGTGCCCTTTTAAAATGCTCTTTCTCCCTTTTATTCTTCCTCCATTTCTTCTCTGCTGGCCTCAGTTGCCTTTGCTGCTCAGGGATTTTTGGCCTGCCAGTGCTGGCCACTGCTCTGCTGTGTGCACAGGCTTAATCACACAAGGTCAGTGGAAGAGGAGGGATGTTCCCTGCTCCAGGAGCAGCTCCTTGGCCCGAAATCCCCTCTCCCCTTACACAGGGACAGCGTTGTGAGCTCAGTTCTGCTCCTCAGGCTGCTGGCTGGTGGAAAATGCACGAGGGAAGCAGGCACAGCCCTGCCAGGGGCAGCTTCAGCTCCTTGGAATTTGGGATGAATTTGGGATGAATTTGGCTCCTGCTGCTTCTTGCTGTCCCTCTGGGGTGGCTGGAGGGTGCCCAGGCGCTGATGGTGGCACAGGGTTTAAGGAGCCCTGAAGTTAAACTCAGGACATGGAAATCTCAAAACTCTGACATTGTCCTGCTTAAGTCTTCTTTGTTGTTCTTGACCATGCTCTGTGTTCATCGTGTGCTTTTCTGTAGCTTTTGTAGCACAAATTCTTAGGCTGAAAAGCTAAAAATGCATTCCAAGGGCAAACCCCAAAGCCAAAATATCCCAAAATGTCCCTCGAGGCTCTGCAGGGCTGGTGACCCAGGAGCAGATGCCAGAGAGCCCTTAGGGGAGAATTCATTCCCTTTGGGAGCTGCTGTTACATGATGCCACACATTTTCCTCCAGTGCCTCAGGTATTTTCAAACCCTGGTCCCTTTGTGTCAGATGCCTGTGAACCTTTGAGAGCCCAAGTTTTACTGAAGCAAATATTCATGTAGAGAAAAACTGCAAACTGATAATGGCTTAAATTCTAGTTAGGTTTTGAAGTTTATATTTAAATTTTTCATTATTGGTATTTAACCCTGCTATGCCTTTACTTAATTGTGGCAGAAACAATCCCAGTCACTCCTCCTGAGCTGCCTGATCACAGCTCGGGCTCAGACTTTATGTTTTTGGCCATGGAAAGATTGCCATCAGCTGCCCACAGGGAAGCAGAGAGGACAGAAAAGCTGTTCAATCTGCTGACAAAGTCACAGAAGTGCAACCTGCTCCTGGTGGGTTTTGTGGGCAGAAACTGATTGGGGAAATTATTTGTTTGAATTAACAGAAAACATCCTAATGTGAGAATCCCCACTGAATGGCAAGGGAAAGTCATAGGGAGAAAAAATGGGAATGCCAGAGGGTTTGATGGATCCATCAGCATTCCCTGTGCCCAGTGCAGGGCACATGAGGAGTGCAGTGTCACCATCTGGCAGCAAATGGAGCTGGGGACCCTCCCTGAGCAGAAACCCGGCGTGGAGGGGTGGGATGTCACCCACTGCACAGGGGGCTGCAGCCAGCCTGCCCTGGGCACAGGAGATGAGCCCTGCTCTGAGCTGAGCCATGCTGCCTGCTGCTCACACAGCTCAGCTGCCTTTGTGAGCCTGGCAGCCCGGGTGACACACACTGAAAGGCCTTTCTGAGGTGTTCATGGAACGGGCCTTGCCTAATCTTAGCTTAAAATCTTCTGTTCAAAGGAACATTGTGTGTCCAGGAGAGGGAATTATAGTGCTTTTTCAACAAAAGTGTTCCTTTCTAATCCCCTCTCCTCTCCTGCTTTCCAGCAGCCTTTCTTATGTCTGAAGCTGTAAGGTTTAAATTAAACTGGGACATTGTCTGCTGGAGGCAGCTCTTGGAGCCTCTGCTGCCCTGCTCCTCCCAGAGCATCCCCTTCTCTCCAGCTCCCCCAGCCTGTTCAGCTGCTTTGTGATCCCCCCTTCCCCAGGAACAGATGTGCTGCAGGATCAGGAGGGAAGAGCTCAGACATAAATGTGCTCCCACAAAACAGATCCCTGTTTTTTCCTCAGAGCTGGATGTGTCCCCTGGAGCAGGTGCTGACCAGGAGACTTAGAGGTGCTCTCATATCCTGATTTTGGGCTGTGGCAGGGGCTCTGCCTTCTGCTTTGTTGAGCCCCAGAGGAAACTGAAATACAACCCAGGCTGGTTTTGGTCCCTGCTGCCCCAGCCATGCCTTGCCAACCCCTCTGGGCACTGAGCCCACACCTTCCCTGTGCCCCAGGGAGCACCCCCAGCTGCCACACTTGGCCCTGGCATGTCCTGAGGGATCCTGGATCAGGATGCAGCGTTGGAAGGAGGAAGGGAGGAAGGGTTTGGCACTGCAGATGAAGCTCTGATCATGAGCTTTAAGGCAGCTGTGACTCTGGGGACTGGACACAGGAGATGTTTGATAGCAGCACCCCCTGCATGCCCCTGGAGCCAGGAATGCACTCTCAGCAAACGTGGATGCAGAGGAAAATGCCTTGTGTGGGTTGAATTCATTCCTGGGGCTGCATCCTGTATTCCACGGTGCTTCCAAGGGGAATTCAAGCCTAGGCTTGAGTTGCTCTCAGTTCATCAACACCATCCAACCTTGGAATGGCCTGGGCTGGGAGGACCTTAAAGCTCATCTCATTCCAGCCCCTGCAGGGACAGGGAGCTTCCCACCAGAGCCCCAGCCAAGGGTATTTCCATCAGAATAAATGTCTCAGTTATCTTGTGCTTGGTTCTGCCTCCTCCCTCTGTGGATGTTTGTTCATGCCCCACCTTGGACTTTGGTGTTGCTGATTTCAGTGCTGTAGAGTGGGGCATGATCTCCCCTTTGCTGTCTCCTGATGTTTTATCATCTATGGGGTATTTTGGTTGTTCTTTTTTGTCAGCCTCTTCCTTAGCTTACAGGTAGGAACCATTTGAAAGGCTGAAAGCCAGGTTAAATATCCCTGGTCCCAAACAGAGCTTTTTTAAGAACCCCACACTCACATTTAGAGCAGCATGCAGAGGTTTTTTTTTTCCTGCTATCATTTTACAACGATCTACTCATAAAATGTGAATTTATGACAAAGTGAAAGCATTTTCTAGTTGCTGGAACAGCCTCTGGCATCAGTCTTTGGATGGCAGGAGTGACCCAGCCGTGCTGCTGTGGGCTCTGACCCTACCTGGAGCCCCAAAGGGATAACTCATGGGGTGCCAGGTAGCCTGAGGTCCCCTCCTTGTTGTGAGAGTGGTTTGTACAGGGAGGGAGGAGGGGAAAATGATTCCAGGACACCTGTAAATCCCTGCAGCTCCGTGCTGAGGTTTGATGTTAATTAGGCAGCAGGCAGCAGTAATGTGCTGCTGTTCCCTTGGCTTGCCTGCCTTGGAAAGGGCAAAATCTTCCAGCAGAGCAAAGAAGGGGCTGTGGAAGGGGCAGCAAACTGAATGGAACAACGATAATTTTATGCAAATTGGACTTCTGTAGCAGATTCAGCTTGGCTGAATCACAGAGGGAGCAGAAGAATAAGGGAAGAAAGAGGGAGAGGAAAAACCCAATCAAAATGTATGGTTTGAGGCATGTTTCACAGCCTTCTGGTTAGATTCTTCTACAGAAATGAAGAAACATAAGAGGAATGGCACTGGTCAGGGCCAGTGGAATTGCTCTTTCTCCTGTGGTACTGCTGTTAATAACTACAAGTGGGTTATTGAGCCAACCTCTGCTGATTCTGCTTTGCTGCCTCATTTCCAAAGCTCTGCCCTGCTCTGGCACTCACTCACAGCTGCAGCTCTGCATGCACGGCCTTGGTGTGGGGGAGAGCTCCTGTTCTCACAGAAAAAGGGAAAGAAAAGGAGGAGGGGGGCGAGGGGAACTGAATTCAGAGTGCCCTGGGGGAGTGCAGGGGGTGCAGGAGCAATGGGCACGGCAGGGCTGGAGCTGCTCCGTGCTGGGATCAGTTCCTGCTCTGGAAGGGCCATTCTGGGATCAGGGAAGGGATCAGAGAGGGGCTGGGGCTGCTGTGCAGGGCAGGGTGTGAGGCTGTGGGTGCCAGCACTGCCCCATGGCTCTGCCCGTGTCACCCTTGGGCTGCCAGAGGCTCTGCCACAAAACCAGGGATGGCTTGGGCTGGAAAGAACTTTAAAAGATCTTTTTTTTTCCGCCCTTTCTATAGGCAGGGACACCTTCCCCTATCCCAGGTGACTCCAAGCCCTGTCCAACCTGTTCTTGGACACTTCCAGGGGCAGCCAGAGCTGCTCTGGGCACCCTGTGCCAGGGTCTCCCCTCCCTCCCAGGCAGGAATTTCTTCCATTTGAACCTGCTCTCTCTCTGTTTCAATCCTCTCCTCCTTGTCTTATTTCCCTCCTTGCTCTTCCTGCCTCGGCCTCTCCAGCTCTGTGTGGAGTGGCAGGAGAAGCTCCCAGAGCTCAGCACCAGGGTGCCCTTCTTGAGGCTGAACTGAACATTTGTTTGGCTGTTTTTTTTTTATTTTTTGTCCCTCTCTTTTCTGAAAGCCTTCCAGGGACGGCTACAGGAGTGTTCCTGCTGGGGGTAGGAACTGCCAGTCCTCTCCAGACTATTTTTTCCAACTGAAGTAGATCACATGCAGCTTTCCCACTCTTTGCCAAGCTCAAAAAATAGTCCCAACCCCCTGAGGGCTCGTTCTGTGCTGACCACAGGCTCTGCAGCACAGGGGCTGTCCCCACCATCCCCCCAAAAATGAAATACTTCTGTTACTTCTACCATAACATACATATTTTTAGGGCTTTTTTTTTTTTCCCCATATGGTTTTAGGAGATTATGGGAATTTTTTTGTGGCCCTAGCATCACCTTGCAGGGAAGGTGACTCTGCTGTGACCAAAGCAGTTTGGGACAGGAGCAGGGCAGGCAGGCTGAGCAGTGTCACCATGGAATACCCTGCTCATGGAGCACTGAGCCTTTGTGCTCAGTAACCTGGGGTCTTCCCTGTGGTCTAGGATGCCAAAAAACTTTGTGGTTTGATCTCCTGAAGGGCAGGGGGTGAATGTCCACTCACATGTTCCTCAAAGCTCTCCCTTCCATCTTTTCATTCTTGCTCATCCCTTTGCACAAGCCTCCTGTGTGCAAGGACTTGTTAAAAAAATTCAATCTATTCCTGCTGTTTTTGCATGTCAGACCCCCAGCAATGTTTCCATCTTGCATGGAGCACTGTCCTGGCTGTTCCAGGTGTGTTCTGGGCTGTGCTGCTGTTCTGCTGCTGTGAAAATGTGCCCCTCACTCCTCGTGTGCATCACCAAGCCCTGGGCTGCATGCAAATATGGGGAGAGTTGGGTCGGTGTTATATTAGAATTGGTAAAGTTTTCCTCAATTTAGCCTTAAATTTGTTCTTTTTAGCCTTGAGGTTGTTCATTTTTAGTGCTGAGAGCTGAGAATGCACCGTGTTCCATGGTGCTGTGTGTGTTTGTTGTGTTGCTGCATGGTGGGAGCCTGTGCGTGGGCTGCTGCTTAGCCTGGAGGTTTGGCACTGAGCATTTGGCTTGTTTTCCTGAACCTGTTGCAATTTTCCTGTGTGAGATGGCCATTTTTATTTTTTATTTTTTATTTTTATTTTTATTTTTTATTTTTATTTTTATTTTTATTTTTATTTTTATTTTTATTTTTATTTTATTTTTTATTTTATTTTTATTTTTATTTTTATTTTTTATTTTTATTTTTATTTTTATTTTTATTTTTATTTTTATTTTTATTTTTATTTATATTTGTTTGTTTTTTTTGCTCTGTCAGGGAGTGCAAGCTGCCCTTTGGTCTTTCTTGCTTGGCACTGGGTGTGTGCAAAGGGGCTTGAAGTGGGGACAGCAATGGAAGCAGTGTGGGCTCCCTGGCACGTGCCAGGTGTTCTGGAATATTCCATTCCTGGCCTGGCTCTGCCCGTGGCAGGTGAAGGAAGGTGGTGGGTGCCTCCCCAGGAGCTCTCCCTGGCAGCTCACAAATTTGGGAGAGTCAACTGCAAAGATTGTTGCTGGTTGTGTGCCTCAGTTTGATGATGGTTCTTGATGATGGCTTTCACTAACCAGTCTGTGACTAACTGTGGTTGTTTGATTACAGAGGGAACATCCCCACGCTAAACAGGTATGGTACTCATCATCTTCTCAAATTTCAAAAGCCACACTAGAAAGAAGTAGCCTAATCCTGAATGTTTTAACATGTTTTGTTGTAGTGCCCTTCTCTTTACTTGGGAAACTCTCAACCATAACTCTTCTTTTACCTTCCCTTTTCTTCTCCCTTTGTCTAATACATGTTTTCAGCTTTTCTCTAAAAAAAAAATAAAAAAAATAACAAAATCTTTGCATGCAGCAGTCTCTGAAACCAGATTTGCTGTGTGACTCAGCTCACCTGCAGTGTGTTACACAGCAAAGTGCTGTCCTAGGGTCTTTTCTGGCACTGCATTCCCAGGGTGATCCCAGGCAGTTCCTCCCAGCCCATCCTGGTGCCACCCTGCTTTCTTGTCCATAGCTTAGAATTTGTCAGGGCTGTTTCACCTCCCTCACACCATAGATGAATCTACATCTCAAACAGCTGACAGCATGTTTTGTTGTGGTTTGGATGCTAATTTTTCCTCCTGTGTCTCAGTTGAAAAGTATTTCTTGTTTTAAATAATACATGAAAAATGTCTGCTGTCTCTTTGTTCGGTTCCTGTTCTGTGATAGTTTTTGTATTAGTTGTAAGAAACGTACACCAAGGCATGTCCTGAAAAATTCCTCTTTCAAAACGTGAATACCTATTATTTATTACTGCTTACAAGCCTATTTAGGGAAAAATAGTAAAAATGGGCTTGGAAGTCTCACGGCTCTTAATCAGAGATAAATTGAGGAAACAGAGAGTGACTTTAAGCATGGAGAGCTATTAATCACACTGATGATACTTTAGACTTGTTAACACTGTGCTCAGGGCTGGATCACAGTGGGTTTGGTGTGTGGGAAGGGGGAGATCCCAGCTGGGAAGTGGCTGTGGCAGGAGCTCCTGGGTCAGAGCTGGCCCTGCTTTCCCCACACACAGCTCAGCACCCCTTGGATTTCCCAGCTCTGAGGCACTGTGTGTGTGGTGGGGAATCAATTCCCTGACTTTTTTCCCCCCCATCTCCTCCTCTTCTGGCACCAGTTGGGAGGAGCAAAATTAATGTGTCCCCAAGGGCAGGGAGAGTGAGTGAGGAGTCCCTGGGCCAGCTCCCTGCTCGTGTCTCTTCAGAAGTGTCACCATGTCACAGGCAGCTCTTGAAATAATTCTGAATGAAGATGAGTCTGTCATACAGCTCAGAAATTGGTGATAATTACTGCAGAGAAGGCAAACCCCAGCTGTGGTCACCAGACAAAGGTCCAATCTAATTGTGTGCCTTTTCCTCACTATGTGGGAAGATTCCTCTGCTAGTCTTGACCATGGCATTGGGAGTCTCTAAAAAAAGATAAAAAAATCACAGAACCAGTGAGGTTGGAAAAGATCTCCAAGACCATGGAGTCCAACCTGTGACTGATCCCCACCTTGTCAACCAGCCCAGGGCACTGAGTGCCACATCCAGTCGTTTCTTGAACAGAAAGGGTGGGAGTATGAGTGTTAGACTCAGTAAAGAATTTTGGAGAAGTCACTGTACCACTCTGCACTTGAGGAGTGCAAATTAAAGTATGGACAAAATAAATCATGGAATCAATAAGATAATACAGCATGGTGTGCTTCAACCTAATTTCTAAAAATGTACTGAATCCTTCAAGTGTCAAATCTTAAAATTGCTGCTGTTTGAATCATGTTCCACCTGTAGAGCAAAACATAAAGACAGGAGGAAAAATAAGTTCAGCTTTGCATAGCCAGAATTTTCCTGTCACCTCAAGAAATACCTGTTTTAGGGGGTCATTAGATTATTTGCTAACTCGGAGTGAGCCAATATGCAGGTGAGGGTGGCACCAGAGGCATGGCAGGGGCTCTGGAGCAGGCTGAGAAATCCAGCACGGGTTGCACAGCCACGCTCCAGGTGCTCAGAGCAGGTGCCCAAACCTGCTCCCCGTGCTGTCCCCTGTCCCTGCTGACTGTGCCCTCGTTGTTTTGCTGTTTAGGATGTCCTTCTCTTCCAACCTCAACCACTATGGGATGGTGCACGTGGCCAGTGTGAGTGATGTGCTGCTGGACAATTCCTTCACGCCCCCGTGCCAGAGGATGGGTGGCATGGTCTCCTTCCGCACCTTCGAGGACTTTGTCAGGTGTGTGGGGCTTCTTTCTGTGGCCACCTCCCCACCTGGGCCCTGACAGAGCTGGGGGAAGGCTTAGAGCCAGGTTTAGAGCCAGGTTTAGAGTGGTCCTGAGCGTGTTTCCCTGTTGGGATCGCTGCGTGTGTGTCCCCAGGCTGCTGGAGGAGCAGTTCTGCAGACAGGGATGGAGCAGCATCCTGGGTTCCTGCTGGTTGGAGACCACTTGGGAATGTGCTGATGTCTCCTAATGCTCCGTGGATGTGTTTGGGGGGATTTCTTTGTGCTTCCAACCTTTTGGGATAGAGCCCTCAGCCTGCACCCACGAGATCTCTGACAAATGTTGGACGATCCTGACTCTGGTTTGAGGAATTGCCTCCTCATCTTTGGGGGAAGGAGAAGGAGCCCTTTCCTGCCGGGACTGGTGGTGCAGTGCTGGCTGCTGTGTGTGCTGGCAGTGCTGTGGTGGTCACTGCTCCTTCCCTGCTGTATTCCAGGATTTTTGATGAAGTCATGGGATGCTTCTGTGACTCTCCCCCGCAGAGCCCGACGTTCCCCGAGGCCGGCCACGCTTCCCTGTATGATGAAGACAAGGTAGGGTGTTTTTTTTTGTTGTTTTTTTTTTTCAGGAAGGTGCTGTCAGGCTGGCAGCAGGCTGGGGCTGGGGTGCTGGCAGCAGGAGTGAAGTTTTGTGTATTTATGGCCGTGATTTGCTTGCTCGTTGCACAGCGGGTGACTCGGCGTGGGCGGCCGCTTCCCAGCTCGCCTCTAAAACTATGGCTCAGCCTCTTGCTCCCCATGTAAATTTAGTTTATGGCTTTTAGCATCAGCAGAATCACTCCATCCACGGCGGCATAGCAGAGTTTAAACCCACCATTAAGTCTCCAGACCCTCTCTCTGCACCAGGATGTTGAACTGCACCTTCAGCTGTCTTTGTCCTACGTCTGACTCGCCGTGTTTCCTGTGTTACCCCCTTCCCGGTCACCTTAAATCCTCGTTCTTCCCTCTGCTCTGCCTCTTGGAACTGTTTTTTGGGAGGAAAAGCTGAGTGGAGCTGCTCAGTTTTTGCAGTGCTGTGGAGAACAGGTGCAGAGGAGGCAGGTGGTCCCTAATCCGTAGGGATAGAAGTGCATTTCCCTCAGGACACAGGTAGCTGCTCCACAAGAGTGGGAAGCTCTGCTGGAATACAGCCTGTGTCCAGAGCAGGGCTTTGTTTTCCACTTGATCCATTGATCCTGATGTGTTGGAAGCACTGTAGCCTTTTCCAGAATATTACTGTCAACCTTAATGTCCTCAGATCCCTCTCTTCACATCCCCTCACCTCACCAAGGTAATTTCCTGTCCAGACTCACTTTTTCCCACTTAATCACAGGCTCCTGAAGACTGAAGTGGTAATTGCTTGGAGCTCTAATGGAGCTGATGTTTCCACATTATTTCATGTTGTTGTAGATCTGAAAACTCGCATTGTTTTGCCCCTCCACTTTGATTAATTTAATTACTTTCCTTGATGCAAAGTCCTCTACTGTCCTTGGGCTGCATCTGATGAAGAGAGGCCCCGACCCTGTGCCCTGTCTCGTCCTCAGACTTGGATTCTCCAAAGGAGGCTCCTGTTTGATGTTTGTGGACATTGACTTGTGTGAAATTGCAGATTTATGAGGCTCTTTGCTCAAGGATTTCCCTCAGAGTTTTCCCTGGTGAAGTCATTCCCCCCCGGAGCATCTCTGGGTTTCATTTCCCCCCAGAGCATTTCTGCGTCCATCCCTTTAAAGCTGGGTTTGGGGAGCCTGTTCTGAGGCCTGCCAGACATTAAACTGTTAACCATTTCTGATTTTCCCCGTGGGGAACATTCCCTTGTGCCTGCAGAGTGCTCGGGAGGAGCCCATCCACATCCTCAACGTGGCCATCAAAACCGACAGCGACGTGGACGACGATGGCCTGGCTGCCATGTTCAGGGAGTTCACCCAGAGCAAGGTGAGCCCCCTGCCTCCCCTCTGCCTCCCTGGCCCTCTGCACCATGGCAAAAAGGCTTCCTGTTCCCAGGATTTTTGGGGTGGGGGGGGAGGATTTGGTTTGATTTCAAAACCAGCGTGCTGCAGTCACGTCCTTGATTTATCCCAGCCAAACCCTTCCCTTTGCTTTGTCTGGATGTAGCTGCACCTTCCTGAAGCCACCAGGTCGTTGTTTCTCCTTCTGATCTGTCAGGTCAGGGCTTCTTCCCTTGAATTTCTGGTGGGATGAAAGACTTGGAAGGTTTTAAACACATCAGGTCAATCCACGTACTCTGAAAATGTGTTCTGTCCCTTTGCCTGGTGATAAAGTTGTTGCATGAGCAACAGAACCGTGTAAAATGACATTAAAATGTCCTGTATTTGTGTATCACCATAGTCTTAATGCAATTTAGATTTACTGCCCTTGTTAGCATGCTGGAGCATCCATCTGATACAATATTCCTGGCATGAGGAGGAATTATTTGGCATGTTCTGCTGCTCTTTTTTAAGTGTGGGATGCACTTTAGAGTCCCAGATGTGAGTGCTGGGACAGCCTGGCTTGGGAACAGCCTCTTTGTGTCCCCTCTGGGCTCTGCCTGCACCTGCTTTTCTGAACTCCACCAGTTTGTGGAGCTGGATGTCCCAGCAGGAGCTGGGATTCCTGGTGCTGCACTGGTTTTGGGAGCACTGAAAGAGCTCCACAGCTTCTCAGTGTGGGAGGGGGGAACAGATCCTGCAGAAATCAGGGGTTCCAAAGTGGGACTGGCATCCACGTGGCTTCAGCAGCTCCCTGTCCCTTTAAACAAGGAAAACAATCAAATCTAAGAATTAAAACTAGTTCTGCTTTTCATCTGCTTGATCATGCTCCAGGCGTTTTATGGGAGGGGATAAAAGGAAAGAAATAAAAAAAAATATATATATATATATATATAAAAAAAAAATCCAAAACCACATTAAACTATCAAATAGGTTGATCCAAATTGTCCAAATAATCTTCTAGTCCCAGCATGTTGTGTGTGGTTTTTTTAATAGAAATTAGGATCATATACTTGTAAATGACTTGTGGAGGAGATTGAGGCAGTCAGTGGAAATGGAGTTTCTCCAGGTGCTGATGGCTAATCGCTCTCTAATAGCTGTGGCCTTGCTGGGAGACCCACATTATTACCATGTAATCAGAATCCTGTTGCTCTGCTGTTATTGTCTGCCACTTGTGGAATTTTAAAAGCAATAACAATTTTTGCTTTTTAAATCATGGCATTATTAAAGTTATTTTCTTCCTCTTGCCATGAATATAGTCACTGCTGCTCATTTCCAAAGGGCTTAACCTTAGTAAAACATCACAGTCTGTGCAGAGAGGGGCTGGTTTGTTCCTGCCTGAGCTGAGTTGTTGTTCCTTTTTGTGTTCTTTGCTTTTAAATTGCAAGAGGGAGCAGGAAGGAGGAAAGTTTGAGAAAGAGGAGAATTATGAGATCTTAGCACTTCAGAGGGTCAGTGGTGTGACAAACAGTGATGGCAGCACTTCTCTGAGAGGGGCTGAGGGGAACACGAGGGATAAAAAAAAAAAACCCTGACATCTGACTTGTGTCCCCTTTGCAGTGTGAAATCTTGGGATCTCTTGGGTTGGGAGGGACCTTCCTGACATCCCATCTAACCCTTGTCCATCTAATTCTTGTCACGTTCCTCTCTGCCCATACAAAAAGTCCCTCTCCCTTCTATTTTAATGCCCTTAGAGCACTGGGAGGTCCCACTGAGGACCCCCCAAAGGCTCCTCCAGGCTGAGAGCTTTGGGCTGGCTTATCCATGAGCTCACTGTGCCAAAAGCAGGTGTGAGCTGCGTGTTTCCATGGGTTAGCTCCTCCAAAACTCATTTTCCATCATTTTCCATCACCTCGCCACATCTACACCGTGCTCCCTTCAAAAAGCAATCCTGGCAAATCACCGAGGGTATTTCCTGCAAGATTTGGGTGTGACTCCTCTGCATTCCTGCTTAGCCAGGCTCGGTGGAATTCACTACACTGGATTTGGTTATTTACCTGCTCAGGTGGAAGTGTTTTTATGGTGTTTATTCTGGGTATTTATTTTGGGTATTTCTGCTGCTAAAGGAGCAGCAGCTGGGAAAGCTGAAGGAGAGCAGGAATTCAGAAGGATCTGCAGAGATTTTTTTCAGTTCTTACAGGATTTCAGCATGTTTCCAGTCTGTTCTTTCTCTGCCAGTCCAGTCACCTGTTTCCATCCTTGTTTCTGCAGAAATCAGTCCTGATTGAACATGGCATTCGAAGGCTGACTTTCCTTGTGGCACAAAAGGTATTTCAGCATCTCTCCTGATGCTCAGAACTCTTTGGTTTCTAGCTCGTTATACCATTGGCATCTGACGTGTTTTTCCTTCAAATTAAATGCTGTATTTACTGTACTTAGTTCTCTCTTCACTGTTTTTGTCCTCTAAAACTTGAGATGGTTTTCATGAATTCGCTTAAGAAAATTAATTTACAATTGTAAACAATCTTGACGCCTCTTGTATTCTTGAATTAATTAATTTTTGATTTTAATCCTAATTGCTAGCTGTCTTCTGCTTTTGTTTTTTTTTTCTTCCTATGTGTGTATGTTTCGTTTGTAAGGACTTCAGGAAACAGGTCAACTATGAGGTGGATCAGAGATTCCATGTAAGTAAAAAGGGCCTGGAATGTGGTGGCATTCCTGAAGTGAGGCCAGCAGACACTCAGGGGGCTCTGGGCTTCTCACTTGGAGCTCATTTCATGCCCACACTGGTGCCAAAGTGAAGTGTTGGAGTCTTTATTTGAACATCTGGTTGCAATTCAGAGGGGCCACTGAAATTCTGAGTCCCCCCCCTTGTCACCTGGCTGAGCTCAGGAAGCCACACTGATAAAAATTTCCTTGTGTTTTAGTGGTGTTTTCTGTTCTGAAGTGCAATTATCAGTGAGAACTTATTTCTTGGCTAGTGTGGTGATTTCTTTCGGCTTCTTACTGATTTTAAAAATAACTCGGAGCAGTCACTGAAGGGACTTGTTAAATTTGGCAGAGTGGTTTTGTGATGTGGGAAATGCTGGGTGCTCTTTCTGCTGAGAATTACTTCTCTCCCCAGGACCTGGGCATCAGTGAGGCCTGGTTTAGGTGGAAATGTAAAGCATAAACCAGGTTTTTATCTCTTGGGTATCCACTTTTCAATTCTGGAAGTTATCAAGAGCCTTTGAAGTGCAAGAAATTCACCCTGTGCTCAACACAGCTGGTCTAGGAAGGTTTGTGAAGGGAAAACCAGTTCACAAATCAACAGAAATAGTGTTGGAGCCTACGTGGGAGTCACCAAGTGAGAATTGTTACTCACAGTGCAGGTACTGAGGTGTCAGTCAATGCCTTGGGAAACTGGATTTGGTGGAGAGCTTTTTGGGACATTTAGCAAGGAAAATCTGGGCTTTAGGTTTGAAAATCTAGGTTTGAGAAAGTCAGTTTTAGAGAACAGAGTGGGTGCTGGGGGAATGAAGAATGAGAGTTGCTGAGTAAATGCTGTGGGAAGTGTCAGAGGTCAGGAGGGAGGCACAGAGCAGGAGGAGCCATCCCCAGGCTCTCCCTGCACCCTCAGTTTGGTGTCATCTGGCTGCAAAGTTTGTGGAGCACCTCTGGGAGCTGCTCTGTCAGTCTTTATTACTGCCTGCTATCCCAGCCCCTTCATTACTGGACCAACTATTAACTTAGCCAGGGCCTGGGCTTGGGTTTGTTTTTGTTTTAATTACAGTCTATATAATTAGTTCCCAGCATGTTGAGGTAATAGAGAGTTGCTCCAGCAAGCTTCCAATTTCCTCATCTCATTAGGTTTTTAACGTGATTATTAGTATAATAATCAACTCTGATGATTTCTGGTGTAGCTTCTCACATTCTGCAGTTTGCAGGGTGTCTTGATTGGCTAATTTAGGCAAATTATTTTGATTGTCTTGATGATGGTTGGTTGATTAGAACACAGCAGGGGTATAATTCTTCTGCCTAGGAAATGGAGCACTCTTTTGGATTTTTTGGTACCAGGGCACTGAGGATTTTTGTGTGTGTGCACATCTAATGATGATATTTGCCCAGCACACCAGTGAGGTGCCTTGGAAGCAATTCCATTAGTGGTGGAATGAGCCTGGAGATGGTGGGAGAAGCTGGCAGCATGCAGGGGAGGGCAGGTAGGAGGGGTTGGGAGAAGTGAGGAAACGTGGAAGAGGTTGTTTCTTACATGAGCCTCACAGACAATGGGTATATTGAATTTTTAGGCAGCATTTCTTGTACCATTGCTTATTTTGGGAGAGTTTCCAGGCAAACAAAGTTGTTTTGCTCAACTGAGAGTCACCAGGTGATATTTGGAGGCTGTTTTACCTAGGAGGGAAGGAAGATGACTGACCAGAATTGTACTTTTAGCCTTAAAATCTGTGTTGCTCAGTGGTGGCTCGTACAGTGTCACTCGTTGTCACACTCCCTCCAGCTGGGCTTGTTCATCTTTCGTGGATAATGGAATGTGAGGCAGAAATTCAGTGGCTGCAGGTCAGATTCTCTGGTTTTTTTTGCTTAGTGAGACAGTTCTGGCAAGTTGTGTGTGTCCCTCGAGGTCACCTTGAGCACAGGCATCAGTGTTCTCATGCAAAGCTCTGCCCAGTGAAAGGGCAATCCCAGGGCATGGATTTGCCTGGATGGATCTGGAAGGACAGGATGCTGTCTAGGCTTTCTCTCTTCAGCTCAGATTTGTACAATATTTCAAAAAACTCTCAAGGTTCTGCCAGGGTTTTATCTATGCAACAGAAAACCTGAGAAACTGGGTGGTGTATGGAGGATTTTTGTGAGGTTTTTGCTGTTCCACACAAGAGAATAAAGTTATTTGATTGCAACTCCCAGTTTTCCTTGGGAAGAGAGTTTTTCTGGCAGTAATGGCATGAAGAGAGATGTAGAATAAGATCATTATTCTGTGTACATCTACATCCATAACAGAGTGTCCATATCACTCCAGACATTTCCACAGGAATCTTAATCAGAACTAGAAAAAAAATTCCCACTTCTGTTTTCTCTGTTAATAACTGACCATAATGATCTCAAGCCAATCAAGTAGCCTCTTTTGCATTAGTGAGGGCAGGTTTAAGCTGCCTCTGCTGTCTTGAAGGTGACTTGATTTTTCTACCACCTTTGTTGAATGTTGAAAAAGTGGCTGGGAACAACTTGTGTCACCTCCTGTGCTGTGGTGCTGCCCCAGGAGTGGCCTGAGAGCACTCTGGGGACATCAGTGCTTGCTTTGGGAGGGCTAACACTGTTGTTTTTATTTTCAAACAGAGGGAATTCCCAAAGTTCTTCACGTTCCGTGCCCGGGATAAGGTGGGTTGGATATTTTTAATATTTTTTTCCGGTGTTAGGCTTTATCTTTCTTTCATGCAGCGATTCACTACTCAGAATCAGGACAAAACTCACTGTTTTCTGTGGAAAAGAGGGGTTTTTGAGCTTGATAATTTGCTGTCCTGCAATTTGTGTTATGCTCTCAGTGCTTCAACAATCTCACAGCGACTGCGTGAGATGGAAAAATCTGGGTTGGATTTGTTTGAATTCTTAGAGTTTGAGTTAAATCTGAAACTTCGTGAGTGTTTCACCTCTCTGATGCACTCCTCCCCACCCTCTGGTGTGTCTGTGTCCCCTGCAGTTCGAGGAGGACAGGATTTACAGGCACCTGGAGCCAGCCCTGGCCTTCCAGCTGGAGCTGAACCGAATGAGGAACTTCGACCTCACGGCCATCCCCTGTGCCAACCACAAAATGCACCTGTACCTGGGGGCTGCCAAGGTGGAGGTGGGCACAGAGGTCACAGACTACAGGTTCTTTGTCAGGGCCATCATCAGGCACTCAGACCTGGTGACCAAGGTGAGTTTGTCCCTTTCCATGGTGCCTGAAGAGGCTGACCTAGAGCAGAGGCTGTTAAAGAGTTAAAGGATTTAAAGAGTGTTAAAGGAATTAATCAAGGATTTATTAAAAGGCCTTCAAAGCATTCACCTTGGGCAGTACAAGAGCCTGGCTGTGGCTGCACCCAATATGGACCCTGGGTGAGGAGTTTTCACACTTTTATAAGTTTTGGTCCATTTCCACATTGGGGTTCATTGTCCAATCCCAGCTTCTGCAGTCCCATCCTCCCAGATTCTCTCCCCAATTCGCTGCTGTTTGCACTTTTTGGGGCTGAAGCTGCAGCGTGTCCTTGGTTTTTGGGCTGGAGAAGGATTGTTTTGTGTGCCTGAGCTGGGAGGAGAATTGTAACACTTTATGTGAAGTTCAGAGTTATATCCTAATGCAGTACAGAATCTGGAAAATATGAAAGCCAAAACTTAAGGTACCATCCAAAATGGTGAATGAAACCCAGGGTCATCCTAGGCAGCTGCAGGGTCCAAAACTGACAATTCCCTGGATGGAGGGCTGGGGGTTGTGCCCTCTCCTTGCTCTTTGAAATCCTGCTATTCCTGTGCTCCAGGGAGATTTTTCAGGGGCCCAAGAGAACAGGACAGTCATAAATGCTTAGATTTTGAGGCAGCAGTGGCTTGTCCTGGTTTCAGATTTGCTCTGAGCTGAAGGAGGGAGCCAGGTGTGGGATGCAGGCACTGGTTCTGTGCTGGGGGTGGATCACCCCCAGGGCTGCACGTGGGTTCTGTTCTCTCCCTCAAATCCTCCTGCAGTTTTCCAAGCCTCGCCTTCTCAGGCAGTGATTTGGGAGTGAAAAGTGCACGTTTTGTTGGCAGGAAGCCTCCTTTGAGTACCTGCAGAACGAGGGGGAGCGTTTGCTGCTGGAGGCCATGGACGAGCTGGAGGTGGCTTTCAACAACACCAACGTGCGCACGGACTGCAACCACATCTTCCTCAACTTCGTGCCCACCGTCATCATGGACCCCTCCAAGGTGGGAGCTCTGCCCACCTCAGGGCTGCTTGTCTTCCCAGGGCTTCACTTGTCAGAGCTGAGAGGAGTTCTGTGTGTGTGGAATCACAGGACTGTGGAATGGTTTGGGGTGGGAGGGACCTTAAAGCTCATCCTGTTCCAACCCCGGCACCTTCCCAGGTTGCTCCAAGCCTTGTCCAGCCTGGCCTTGGGCACTTCCAGGGATGGGGCAGCCTTTGCCAGGGCCTCCCCACCCTCACAGTCAGGAATTTCTTCCCAATATCCCATCCAGCCCTGCCCTCTGGCAGTCTAAAGCCGTTTTGTTGTGCAGCTCAGCTTCTCTGTGTAAACTGAGGGACAATTATTAGAGATGTGTTTTGTGTTTGAAACTAAACCTGTTTTTTCATTGTGTGTTTGAGATAAACACTTTTAATAAGGAAGCAGATGCAAATGCTCTTCTGTTACAAAATTCAGATTCCATCCAAATAAAACATGAGATAAATTAGGAGCTTAAAAAGAATCTGTAAATTCAGCTACAAAAGTGCCTCATTTTCAGTCTCTGATACAAAACCACAGAGAAGAACGTAATAAATAAATGAACATGAAGCTTTGTAGATGCACAGATGAAAGTGCTCAGTCGTAAAGGATGTTTGTGGTTAGCAGAATCACCACAAAGCAAGTCCCAAATCCAGGCTGAATTTAGCTGGAAATCAGCATTCAGTTCATGGGTACCCAAAGATGAGAGCTGACCTTTCCTGAGGAGAACAGCTGAAAGTTTAAAAAGATGGATTGGGTATCAAAATAACTCTCTTGCTTGCTGACTTTTAAATCATGATTAAAAATTGGTGGCTTAAATCCCTTTTGAATGAACCTTTCCTGGCATGTCCAGAGCTGTTGGTTCCCAGGAAGTTCAGAAGAAGCTGGAATATTCACCCCTGGAAGTTGGGCTGCCCTCAGATCCAAACCATGAGTTTTCCTTGAGCTGCTGTGCAAAAGAGACTTTTTTTGGGAAAAATGTTTAACCCAGCCCATAAATTGCCTTCTTTTAATATGCACTTTGCCCACAGTGATATTTTATAAAGTTTAATAGAAGAGCAGAAGGCCCAGCTCCAAGTGGTAATTGCTTTGTTGATTTAAAGCTCCGTGCAGGCAGTGAAATGTGATTATTGTGCATGCAAGGGCTGCAGAGCTGCTTGCCAAGGATTTGGCTTCCCTGGATTCTGTGGTTCCCAGGTGTGAGTGGTGCCTGTGGAGGGGAGGCAGGGGGTCCCTGTGCTGGGGGGGGTGTGGTGGTTGGACTCGATGTTCTTCAGGGTCTTTTCCAACTTCACCATTCTGTGATTCTGTGTCGCTGTAGGGGTGGGCGTGACATGCAAAAGGCACACTGCATTTCAGAAGGCTGATCTCTGTTTATGACAACATTGCACCATCTTTTATACCCTCTATACAGTTTACACTTTCTTATTGGTCACAAGTAGTCAGCATAGCAGTCATTGGTGGAAAGTTCTCCACCCCTGTTCTCCCCAGGACATTTCTCAAAATACTTTCCACAGCTGCAGAGTTTTTTTTTTTTTTTCTTTCTGGTTATCTTCTCTTCCTGGTCTCCATGCCAACAACCTTGGTCAGAGAATACTTCTCAAAACAAATCTCATTCATTAACCCTCTCTAACCCACGGGCCAGCTGTGGGTCCTACTGTAGTTCTGTGTGCCATGAGGGAGCGGGAATGGGAATCCAGGGAAGAGCAGGGATGGGATTCCAGGGAACAAGGATGTGATTCCAGCACTGTCCCACTACATCAGTGGACACTCCAGGAGGAGTTCCTGCCTGTCTCAAGGTTTAGGATGAGGAGGGACAGGTCACCAAGGTGCTGTAGCTGCACTGGGCCGTGTGCTGATGTTTGGTGCTTCTTGGAGCACTGGGACGGGACACGGAGCAGCCATGGATGGCAGGGATGGTTTGGGTTGGGAGGAACCTTAGAACCCATCTCCCTGCCCCCCTGGCACGGGCAGGACACGGCCCCCAGGCCAGGTTTGTGGGTGGCTGCTGAGGGAGGCCGCTGGCTGTGCTTTGCTCCCTGGCAGATCGAGGAGTCGGTGCGCTCCATGGTGATGCGCTACGGGAGCCGCCTCTGGAAGCTGCGGGTGCTGCAGGCCGAGCTGAAGATCAACATCCGCCTGACCCCCACGGGCAAGGCCATCCCCATCCGCCTCTTCCTCACCAACGAATCAGGATATTACCTGGACATCAGCCTCTACAAGGAGGTGACAGACTCCAGGACAGGACAGGTACGGCCCTGCGGGGATGGGTGAGAGCGCTGGGGAAGGAGACACCTGGTAGCTGATGGTGTAATGGTTTGCAGGCAAAACCAGGGAGACTCCAAGTCAGAAATATAATTTAATAGGAAGAAAAAAAAAGAGAAAAATAAAATAGACACAATAGTAGAAAAGAAAAAGCACTGACAGAGTCAGAGTACAACCTGACACCTTGCTAGTCAGGGTGGTGTTAGCAGTCCAGATGAAGTGCTCTTGTTGAAGCAGGGATCCTGTAGGAAGGTCTGGGAGCTCTTGTCCTCTGGAATCCAGTGGGAAAAGGCTGTCTTGGTGTCCCAAATCTCAGTTTTTATCTGGGTAGGAAATGCTTGGCTCCTCCCCCTGGGTGGAGCATCTCCCAATGGGATGATGGAATTTTTATCAGCCCTGCCCTGGGACTGCATGGCCATGAACAGGAGAGATCTCCTGGAGGGAGGATGGGCTGTGGGAAAGATAAAATTGATGGCCCATTAACAGAGGATCTCTCCCACAGAGATAAGGATCCCTGCTGCTCCTGGTTTCAACAGCTGGTGATAGAATACTTGCCTTTGGGCACATCCTTACATTGTAACCCAGGACAGATGGGTTGTTGGAAAAGATAGATTTGATCTCACAGATGTGTGTGTGTAACAGAATGTAGAATCTGAAGAAGGAAAAGAAGGAATAGAAATGATAGCAAGTGTTGATATATAAGAAAAGAATTGCTGAGCCAGTCTGACTGGATAACTGAGGCCAAAGGGTAAAATGAGTTAGAAGGGGTTTTTATGACTCAAAGCAAAGGATAAACCCACCTCAAACAAAAGATGTTCTTACCAAGGAAAAAGATTTTCACAGGCAAACAAGAAAGCCAATGTTGCAAGTAGAAACATAGGTCCAAAATTTTCTCATGGAAGAAAACTGAAAAGCAACTTCTAGCTTAAACTGTAACACACAGACCTTTTGTGACTGGAAATAGTACCATGAACGTGGTAATGTTGGCATAGGCTGTAGGCAATGGTAAAAGTATTGGCTGGCTGTCGTGTTTTAAGATGCTCTGCAATGAAAAGTTTAGAATGCATTGTAAGCAGAACTAGAGTGGTTTCAGATAAAGCCACAGCTGAGGTGACAGGCTGTGGGCTGGGCTCTTGTCACCCACGACCCATGAATTGCTGAATGCTCTGGGTACAATAATCAGCATTTTAAAGAGCAGCCTGGAGTCCCCATCCTTCCTTTTGACTCTTACAATGGGTTCTGGTGGCTCCAGGTAATCTCAGAGTGGTTTGGCTTGGAAGGAACTTTAAAGCTCATCCCATGGACACCTTCCACTAGACCAGGTTGCTTCAATACATTTTAATGTAGCACAAAATTCAGCTTAGCCAAAGGAAGGAGAATGTCAAGGTAAACTCGCAGCAGCAGATGTGAAAATGTGAGCAGTTGAGTCAGTCAAGTTTTCTGGTTGTTTTGTACAATCCTGTTTTCCCAAAGAGTTTTCCTCAGAGTGCTCAAATAGGAATTTGAGAATAGAATAGGATAGGATAGTACATAATAATAGCATAGAATAGGAATCACTGCTGGTGCTCATCTTGTAGGTTGTAATAAAAAAATATTAACAATTATACATTTTCCTGAGTAGATAGAAGAAAATCTGTGAATGTGTCCTTTAAATTCTAAAGATATAAGGAATGACCTGGGTAGGATGATGTAAAATTATGGAAGGTGCTTTTATATCATTTTTATGAAGCATAATGGGCTCCTTTGTAATGGTGGTGGCTGGTGTGGTATTTCTGTTTTCCACAGTGCAGGAATAGTGTGGTTAAACTGAAATACCTACATATGCTAAAATCCATGGAGCATGGGATGCATGGAAAATATTTAAATAGAGAAATGTTTACATCTCCCTGTGTAATCATCTCTCTGCCAGGCAGGAGAAGCAGCAGAATAAATCACTTGGGCACTGTGAATGTAGAACACAAAGTGCTGAGTCACCTTTCTCCCCCTTTTCCCATTTAATTTTTCCAGGGAGCTGCTGGCTGTGGAGTCCATCCAGCTCTAAGATCCCAGAACAGATAGTGTCAGTGTGTTTTACCTCACTCCTGCCTTTGAGGGGAGATGAGGAAAGCAAAGAACATTTTAATAACCTCCAGCAGCTCAGCTTAACCCTTGAGTTGGGTCAGTCACTTGTGAAGGTCACAAGTGAACTCTGAACTGATGGGCTTCATTATTTAAAGCTTGGGGAATGGGCTCGTTGATTTGTTTTCCAGAATATTAAACCAGGTTCTAGTAAAAAAAACCACCTGATTTTTAGGAAACTTCCCCCTCATAATGGAGGTTTAGAGGGTGAGTTCAGATCTGTAGATTTTTTTCCTGTGTTTTCAGAGGGTTCTTTTAAACTTAGAGAAATCTTTTTTTAAAAAATTCAGATATTACTGATGTGCTGGGTACTTTCATGACTTCTGAAGAATGGTGAGAGAATGACCCTGATCTCTTGTTTCTCAGCAGTGATAGGTGGTGATGCTCAGCACAGACTTCCTCAGTTCCCTACAGAGTTTTCCAGAGATTTAAGGAGAATTTCCAAGTGCAGATCCTGACAGATCCCAAGACAGGCATTGTCACAAACACTCATTACCCTGAACAAATGCTTCTCCCATTAAAGAAGCTGCCTCCCAAATTAATGTTTGTGCAGACTGAAGAGAGCATAAACTGCTGGTTTTATCTAAAAATAAAAATAGGCTTTACTGAATTTTGTGTAATTCTTCAGTTAGTTCTGTTAAACACATCCTGGTCATGTCCCCCCTGCCAGGTGTGTCCCTGTTAAGCAACATTTGGGCCTTTTAAGGTGTTTTTATCCCGTTTTTATCTCCTGTTTCTCCATTGAAAAGCTTCCCTTCCAAATCCTGCCTGCCTGGAATATATAGTGCCATGAAGCACTGCAGTTGGTAATTCATGTTGCTGCTCTGGGAAAATCTTTTAAACTTACAATATCAAAACTTCAAGCCCAATGACATATGCAAGTCCTGACCTGGCTGGCAGATCCTGCTCCATAAATAACAGAGTTCTGCTGGCTGCTCCTGGCTCCCACCATCCATGGCACAGCCTTGGGGTCAGGGGAGCTGCTGGGGACTGGGAGCTCCTCTCAGGCCTGGATTTGTGCTGGGAATGTGGTTCTGGGTGCTCTGTGTTCCCCAGGGATGCTCTGGGTGCTCTGAGCTCCCCAGGGATGCTCTGGGTGTGGCTCTGGGTGCTCTGTGTTCCCCAGGGATGCTCTGGGTGCTCTGAGCTCCCCAGGGATGATCTGGGTGTGGCTCTGGGTGCTCTGAGCTCCCCAGGGATGCTCTGGGTGCTCTGTGTTCCCCAGGGATGCTCTGGGTGTGGCTCTGTGCTCCCCAGGGATGGAGCAGTCAGTCCTGGGTGCTGGGATTGTGCAGGGAGGTGTCCCCAAGGGGCAGCAGGGTGTGATGTGGCTGAGCAGGAGCAGCCTTGCAGAGGGCAGGGACACTCAGGCTGGAGGAGCCTGGGAGGGGTTTTGGTAAGAGCTGGATCAGCTCAGGGAACAGAACACATGGATTGAGCAGGACGTGGCTGTGCTTTGTCCTGCAGATCATGTTCCAGGCCTATGGAGATAAGCAGGGACCACTCCATGGGATGCTCATCAACACTCCCTACGTGACCAAAGACCTGCTGCAGTCCAAGAGGTTCCAGGCACAGACTTTAGGGACATCATATGTCTATGACATTCCTGAGATGTTCAGGCAGGTGAGTATTCTTTGGGTTCTTCTTTTTGCCATCTTCATTTTCAGGAGAGCCAAGGGCCTGGAGTGGCTGCCAGGGATTATCAGTTATGGATTTAATCTGTTTGGGATGAAATTAGGATAAACTACTGCTGGAGTTCCATTAATGAGTCAAAGAGTAAAACCTGAAACAAACCATCTCCCCTTTCTTGTTGCCATTTCTTTGTTTTCCCACCTTGTCATCCGCCCTTCCTGGATGGTGTTTCTGGTTTGCTGGCTTCTATCCTGAACCACCTCATTCAAATTTCACTTTGGGGGAACTATTTCATGAATCAGATCCCACAGCAGGTGATATCCTTGGAATACTGTCAGGAGGGAAATTTCAGGGTGTCCTGTTGAGTTGGGAATAATCCCAAATCCTGTTGGGAATACCACACTGGGGTGAATTGAATACAAATACATGCAGGTGACATTCCTAAGGAGAATTTCTCTTCCAGTCTTTGATCAAGCTGTGGAATTCCATGAATGATCTGGGAATAATCCCAAATCCTATTGGGAACACCACACT